TTTAAAATCTATGACTTAGTTATTTTATAACTGGAAGTTTGTATCTCTTAATCCCCTTCACCTATTTCACCTGTTACCCCATCCCTCTCTCCTCTGACAATCAGCAGTATGCTCTCTGTATTTGAGTCTGTTTTGTTTTTAGATTCCCCATGTGAATGAAATCATACAATATGTCTTTCTCTGACTTATTTCACTCAGAATAATATGTTGTAGCAAATGGCAAGATTCCATTCTTCTTTATTGCTGAGTAATATTGCACTGTTGTGTGTGTGTGTGTGTGTAAACACATAAATACACGTGCATATGTAGCACATCTTTACTGACTCATGTATTGATGGATCCCTAGGTTGTTTCCATATCTTGGCTATTGTAAATAATGATGCAAGAAACATAGGGGTGTATATATATATTTTTGAATGTATTTTCATTTTATTCAGGTAAATACCAGAAGTGACACTATTGGACCATACGGTATTTCTATTTTTCTTAAAATTTTATTTATTAATTTGAAAGAGAGAGTGAAAGAGCAAGAGAGTGCACCAGTGGGGAGGAGGGGCAGAGGGAGAGGCAGACACCCCACTGAGCAGGGAGCCCGACCCTGGGGTCACAACCTGAGTTGAGGCAGATGCTTAACTGACTGAGCCACCCAGATGCCCTGGTATTTCTATTTTTTTTGAGGAACCTCCATATGGTTTTCCATAGTGGAAGAAACTAACAGCACATGAGGATTGCCTTTTCTCTACATCTTCACCAACACCTGCTGTTCCTTGTATTTTTTATACTACCCATTCTAACAGGTGTGAGGAAATATCTCATTGTGGTTTTGATTTGCATTTCCCTGATGATTAGTGATGTTGGGCATCTTTTCATGTGTCTGTTGGTCATCTGTATGTCTTTGTAAAAATATTCAGGTCCACTGCCCATTTTTAAATTAGATTTTTGTTGGCACTGAGTTATGAGTTCTTTATATGTTGTGGATATTAACTCTTATTGGATATAAGATTTGCAAATACCTTCTCACATTCAGAAGGTTTCCTTTTCCTTTTGTTGGTTTCCTTTGCTGTGCAAAAGCTTTTTAGTTTGATGTAGTCCAATTGTTTATTTTTGCTTTTATTCTCTTTGTCTGAGGAGACATATGCAAAAAAAATTGCCAAGACTGATTCGAAGAGTTTACTATTTTTGTAGTTTTATGGTTTCAGGTCTTACATTTAGGTCTTTAATCCATTTTGAGTTTTTTTTGATTTTGTACTATTGATATTTTGATAGGGATTGCACTGAATCTGCAGGCTGCTTTGGGTACTATATCTGAACAATATTCTTCCAATCCATGAGTATGGTATATCTTTCCATTTACCATGTCATCTTCAATTTCTTTCATTTAGGTCTTAGAATTATCAGAGTACAGGTCTTTTAACTCTTAAGCATTAAATTTACTCCTACATACTCTTTTTGATGCAGTTATAAAGTGACTTCTTAATTTCTTTTTGCTAGTTTTTAGTATATAGAAATGCAACAGATGTCTGTATCCTGCAACTTTACTGAATTCATTTATTCTGATTTTTGGTGGAGTCTTTAGGGTTTTCAATATACAGTATCGTGCTATTTATAAAGAGCAACAGTTTTACTTCATCCTTATTAATTTGTATGCTTTTTCTTTCTAATTACTGTGGCTGTGAATTCCAGTACTATCTTGAGTAAAAGCAGTGAGAGTGGACATCCTTGTGCCTGATCGTGAAAAAGCTTTCAGTTTTTCTCCACAGAGCAGCATCATGTTAGTTGTGGGTTAGTCATATATAGCCTTTATTATGTTATGTTCCCTCTATAGCCAGTATGTTGAGAATTTTTATCATGAATGTATGTTGAACTTTGTTAAATGTTTTGCATCTGCTGAGATCATCATATGATTTTTATCTTTTGTTAATGTGGTATATCATGTTGATTTGAAGATACTCAACCATCTTTGCATCTCTGGAATAAATCCCCCATATTGTAGTGAATGATCCTTTTAATGTATTTTTGAATTCAGTTTGCTAGTAGATTGTTAAGGATTTTTGCATCTATGTTCATTAGGGATAGAGTCTGTAATTTCTTCTTTTTTGTAGTGTCTTTGTCTGTTGTTGGTATTAGGGTAATACTGGCTTTGTAGAATGACTTTGAAAGCATTCCCTCCTCTTCAGTTTTTTTTTTTTTTTTTGGATAGTTTGAAGAGGATGGTATTAATTCTTCTTTACAGGTGTAAAGATTTCTTCCAACATTTAAAGCTATCTGGTCCTAGACTTAACTTTGTTGGGAGTTTTTTGATTACCAATTCAATTTTGTGACTAGTAATTAATCTATTCAGATTTTCTAGTTCTTCCTGATTCAGTCTTGGGAGACTGTGTATTTATAGACATCCATTTCTTCTAGGCTGTTCAATTTGTTGGCATATAACTTTTCATAGTAGTCTTTTATAAACCTTTGTATTTCTGTGGTATCGGTTGTTAATTTCCTCCTCTTTCATTTTTGATTGTATTTATTGAAGTCCTCTCTTATTTTCTTGATGAGTCTGGCTAAAGGCTTATCAATTTTGTTTATCATTCAAAGAACCAGTTCTTAGTTTCATTGATTCTTTCTATTTTTTGGTCTCTATTTCATTTATTTTTGTCTTGATCTTTATTTCCTTCCTTCTCCTATCTTTGAGCTTTGTTCTTTTTAGTTCCTTTAGGTGTGATATTAGATTGTTTGAGATATTCGTTTTTGTTTTTTTTTAAGATTTTATTTATTTGAGAGAGAGTGAGCACAAGTGGGTGGGGGGAGGGACAGCGGGAAAGGGAGAAGCAGACTCCCCACTGAGCAGGGAACACAATTCGGGGCTTGATCCCAGGACCCGGAAATCATGACCTGAGCCAAAGGCAGACACTTAACCAATTGAGCCACCCAGGTGCCCAGAGATATTTCTTGTTTCTTGAGGTAGGCCTTTATAGCTATAAAAATTTTCCCTCATAGAACTGCTTTTGTTGTGTCCAGAAGATTTTGGAAAGTTGTGTTTCCATTTTTATTTGTCTCAAGGCATTTTAAAATTTCCTCTATGATTTCTTCATTGACCTATTGATTATTTAGTAGCACCTTGGTTAGCCTCCATGTATTTGTATTCTATTTTTTTTTGTAATTGATTTGTAGTTTCATATCATTGTGGTTGGAAAAGATGCTTGCTTTGATTTTAATCTTACTAACATTCTGAAACTTATTTTGTGGTTTAATGTGATCTATCCTAAAGCTCATTCCATGTGCATTTGAAAATGTATATGCTGCTGTTATATACAGCATATTACATCCAATATCCATTAAATATATCTGGTCTAATGTGTTGTTCAAAGGCACTGGTTTTTTAATTGATTTTCTGTCCAGATGATCTATCCATTAATGTAAGAGAGGGTGTTAAAATCCCCTACTACTATGATATTACTGTCACTTTCTCCTTTTACGTATGTTAATATTTGATTTATATGTTTAGGTGCTCCTATGTTGGTTGCATAAATATTTACCATCGTTATATCCTCTTGTTAGATTGATCCCTTAATCATTATGTAATGCCCTTGTCTCATGACTGATGTGTGTTGCTACCTTTTTGATTTCCATTTGCAATAGGATATCTCTTTCCATCTCTATGTTCAATCTATATGTCTTTAGGTCTGAAGTCAATCTCTTGTAGGTAGCATACAGAGGTGGTTTTTTTTTTTCTTTTTATCCATTCAGTCACCCTATGTAAGAATGAGAAATCAATCACACTAATCTCTTTGTCATCCATTTTACATTTTGTAGTTCCTAAATGATAAAGAGCTAAAATTCTGACATGATTAAACAGCTAGGGTTTCTCTGTGGGACTCAGGTCAACCATAAACTTTTGCATTTCTGTGGTATTTTTTGTTTTCAAAGAATATATACATTTACACTGTTACAGACTGAATCTTTTCTGTGTCCCCATAACCCCCCCTTTCATACATAGAAGCCCTGACCCACAGTATGGCTGTATTTGGGGTAAGGTTAAATGAGGTCATAAGGGTGGGGTCCTGATCAGACTGGATTAGTGTCCTTATAAGAAAAGACATCAGAGAGCTCTTTCGCTCTTCGCCCTCCCTCAACCCCAGGCACACATGCTGAGGAAAGGCCTCTGCAAGCCAGGAACAGAATGCTCACCAGAATGAATCAGCTGGTAATTTAATCTTAGACTTCTAGCCTCCAGAACTGTGAGAAAATTAATTTGTTTTTCAAGCAACTCAGTTTGGCAGCTCAAGCAGACCAATATACTGTTCAAGCAAAGCTAAATAACAGCAGAAAGGTTAATGCCTAAAAACATCATGCCCTTACTTCTGCCATTTTTAATTTCTATTAATTTATCTGTTTGTAGTTAAGGAGAGTAATTGTGATATTACTAGTGCAGGGCATATATTTTAAATGATTTCTTTTTAATATAATTCGACTTCTTACAAACATTTATGAAATGAGTACGGAATATGGCTTCCAAAGACTCATTCCCAGGATAAAATGCCTAACATTTTAGGCAACCATCAATAATTAAGAACATGAGGGGCACCTGGGTGGCTCAGCTGGTTAAGCATCCAACTCGGTTTGTACTCAGGTCGTGATCTCTGGGTCATGATCAAGCCATGCATCAGGTTCCATGCTCAGCTTGGAACCTGCTTGAGATTCTTTCCCTTCCTCCCACTCCCTCTCCCTCTGCTCCTTCCCCTGCTGTGTCCTCTCTAAAATAAACAAAATCTTAAAAAAAAAAAAAACAAAGATACAAGTTGTATCTCTATTATTCCAGAGATAAGACCAATCTTTAAATTTCAAATACACAAAGTCTTATATGCTCTTAAAAGCTGTATTTTTATTCTTAATATGAATACACAATGAAATACTTTAGGAAGTGTTGGCTAGCGATGGCCAACCTACAGCAAACTGGAGGTACTTAAAAGTGAAGAGCTATACAAATATGTAAATATAATTTACTACTTTACCTGTTGAAGTTCCTGCTCTCTTTGCTGATGTCTCATTTCCATCTGTTTAATTTTCTTTTCTAAGCCCATGAAATGTTTCATCTCTGGTGTATGGTTTTCTCTGGCTTCTCTTAGTTCTTCTAGGAGTTTTGTAATCTAAAATTGAGATACAAAATAAATGAAAAACTGGTAAGAAAAATAAATTTTTTTACCAGGTAGTTTTAAGAATATTTACTACATTTCCTTTGTATAAAATTTCTCTAGAGAAGAGTCTTCTTGTTAATAAGAAAAATATCTTGAGTTGTTAGAATTAAGAGTTTGCATTCCCTATGTTCAGGAAGAAAAGGCTCATCCTGGCTCTGAAATGACCTCATAATCCAAAGGTTCCCAATGACTGGACCACCTCTTCCCATGTACGCCAGGCTGATTACAGCATTCAAAATGAAGGTGGGCACTGTCTTTGGTATATTTAGCTGTGCTAACAAAGTATCAATGTATTTAACAAGGTTGATTACTTTTAGGGTTATATAATACATTTAAAGCACCCTACACAGTATAGTACCCAACACACAGAGTTCAACCTCTTTCTGAGGAAATATACTGAATTCCTTCTGTCCTGGCTGTTGTCTTAGGTCCTGAGGATACAGACATGAAAGACATAGTCCATACTCATGGAGATTACAGTCTAGTGTGGTACCTCCCTTTTCATACTATGGTCAACAGAGAAAATGGTAATATTTTCATGGTACCCATTAGTAAAACAGAGGGGATCTAAGAGCTCTTTCTTTTGGGCTTGATGAAACAAATGTATTTTCTTTACACCACATAATTTTAAATAATTTTCTAATTGTTAGTAGCAAAAGGCAAAATAATAAGCAAGTGAAAATGGCTAAAATGAACAAATTCAATCATGTTTCCCATGAAACAGTACTTAATAAAAACACTAACACTACAAGAAAACCCAAAAAAACAACCCTTACCCCCCACCGCCAAACTCCCTACAATTCCTAATTAGTTTCTAAAATGTGAAAATACAAGCAAATTAAGTCAGGAGCAAATCTAAATCTAAATATTTAAATGTGGGACATCCCTGATGATATCATCCGTGACCAAAGAAATCTGCAGACTTTAATTCGGAGGACTGGCACTATCATACACATAATGGTTAAATATCACTTCAACTTCAACACATAAACTTTTTAATGAATGAAAATTCTGAGTTTGTAATGAGACAACATTTCCAGTCATCAGTATCTTACGATCCACAAGGAACCCATTCCTGTATACCAGCTGGAAGTTCTGGTCTAGTGAACGAAGTAGTCAAGTGAAGGAGAATTCTAATAAGTAAAAAATCTCCCAAGAGGACCAGATGACTTCATAAGTGAATTTTTACCAAAAATTTGAAGAATTAATGCCAATCCTTGTCAAACTCTTCCAAAATACAGAAGAGGCGGGAACACTTCCAAATTCATTTAATAAGGCCAGCATTACCCTAATAACAAAGCCAGATAAAGGGACTATCAGGGGTACTGGCTGGCTCAGTCAGTAGAACATGAGATTCTTGACCTCAGGGTCGTGAGTTTGAGCCCCACATCGGGTGTAGAGATTACTTAAAAATATTTAAGAAAAAAAAATTTTTTTTTAAAAGACCCTATCAGACAACTATGGGCCACTATCTCTGATGAATATGAGTGGAAAATTTCTCAATAAAATACTAGCAATTTGAGTTCAGCAGTACATTAACAAAATCCTTCACCACGATCTAGTGGAATTTATCTCTGGGATGCAAGATAGTTCAGCATATGAAAATCAGTGTAATAGATCACAAAGAATGAAGAAAAAAAATCATATTACCATCTCAATAGATGCAGAAAAAGCATTTGATAAAATTTAACATCTGTTCATGATAAAAACTCTTAAATTAGGTATGGGAGGAATGTACTTCAAATGATGATAATATATCATAAGCCCACATTGAATTCCTGATTCAGGGTGAAAGCTTGAAAGGTTTACTAAGACCACGAACAAGACAAGGGTGTTCACCCTCACCACTCCTATTCATTATAGTACTGGAAGCCCTAGCCAGAGCAATCAGGCAAGAAAAAGAAATAAAGGGCATCAGAATAGGAAAGAATTAAAACTGTCTCTATTTGCAAGTGACATGATTTTATAAAGAGAAAATTATAAAAATTCCACCAAAAAAACTGTTAGATCTAATCAATGAATTCAGTAAAGTTGCAGGATACAAAATTAAAGATCAGTAGTGTTTTGTATACTAGTAATGAATTCTCTGAAAAAAATGATACCATTTAAAAAGCATCATAAACAATAAAATTCTTAAAAATGAACATAAATAAGAAGACGAAAAGTTTCTATACCAAAATCTACAAGACACTGATAATGGAAATTGAAGTAGATACAAAATAAAAAGTATTCTTATAATCCATATTCCTGGATCCCATAATCCTTATAATCCAGAAATATGGATTATAAGAATTAATACTGTTAAAATGTCCATACTACCCAAGGCCATCAATAGATTTAATGCAATCCTTATCAAGATTCCCACAGCATTTTTTACAGTAATAGAGAAAATCCTAAAACTTATATGGACCACAAAAGACCCTGAATAGTCAGTGCAATATTGAGAAAGAGAGTGGGATGTATCCTACTTCTTCATTTCCAGTTGTATTATAAAGCTATAGTAATCAAAACAGTATGGTACTGGCACAAAAACAGACACATAGTCATATATGACAAGAGAGCCAAAAATACTCAGTGGAAAAAAGACAGTCTCTTCAATTAATGGTGTTGGGAAAATTGAATATTCACATGTAAAAGAATGAAACTAGATCCCTATCTTATACCACTTACAAAAATTAACCTTAAATGGATTAAAGACTTAAATGTAAGACCTGAACCCAGAAAACTTCTAGAAAAAAAACAGTAGAAAAGCTCCTTGACATGGGTCTTGGCAACAGTTTTTTGGATATGACACCAAAAGCACAAGCAACAAAATAAAAAATAAACAAGTTGGGACTATATTAAATTGTAAAGCTTCTGTACAGAAAAATCAACAAAATGAAAACAATCTATGGAAAGGAAAAAAATATCTGCACACTATATTTATAAGAGGTTAATATACAAAACATATAAAGAATTTATAGGGGCACCTGGGTGACTCAGTCGGTTAAGCGTCTGCCCTCAGCTCAGGTAATGATCCCAGAGTCCTGGGATTGAGCCCTGAGTTGGGCTCCCTGCTCAGTGGGGAGTCTGCCTCTCAAATAAAAAAGTTATATAACTCAATAGCAAAAAAACCCCAAATAATCCAATTAAAAAATGGGCAAAGGACCCAAATAGACATTTTTCCAAAGATACATAAATAACCAATAGGTACGTGAAAAATGTTCAGCATCACTAATCTTTAAGGAAATGCAAATCAAAACTACAGCATCACCTCACACCTGTTAGAATGGTTAGCATCAAAAAGACAGCAAATGCTGGTGAGGATGTGGAGAAAAGGGAATCCATGTTATGTTGTTGGTGGGGTTGTAAACTGGTACAGCCACTATGAAAATGAGTATGGGGGGCTCCTAAAAAATTAAAAATTGAATGACCATACGATCCAGGGATTCCACATCTGGGTATTTACCTGAAGACAGCTATGTTGAAAAGATATTTGTATCCCCATGCTCATAGCAGCATTGTTTAGAATAGCCAAGACATGGAAGCAACTCGAGTGTCCACTGATGGGTGAATAGATAAAGATGTGATATATATTCAGCCACAAAAAAGGAGGAAATCATGCCATTGTGATAACATGGTTGAACCCTGACAGTATTATACTAGGTGAAAGAAGACAGATTATCATATGATCTCACTTATATGTGGAATTTAAAAAAAACAAAACAAAACCCAAACTCCTAGAAAAAGAGATGAGATTTGTGGTTAGCAGAGGTGGAGAGGAAAGGGTGGGAGAAAGGGGAATTGGATGAAGTGATCAAAAAGGAACAAACTTCCAGTTATAACTATACTAGGGATTCAATGTACAGCATGATGACAATAGCTAACACTGCCGCATCGTATATATGAGTTGTTAAGAGTAAATCCTAAGAGTTCTCATCATAAGGTAAGAAAAATCTTTTTCTTTATGGATGATGACTAAGCTTACTGTAGTAATCATTTCATGATCTACGTAAGTTAAATCTTTATGCTATATACCTTAAACTTATACAGTAGTGTATGTCAATTTATATCTTAATAAAATTGGAAAAAGAGAAAACGTATATACTGACATGAGAATATATATATACTGTTAGGTAAAAAACATCTTTTAAAAATCATTATGCATACACACATACACAAACATGTATTTTATATGTGTGCATGCATGAACACACACCCTCACAGTATTTGTATCTGTATACGAATAAATAAAATCTGGAAGAATATATAGCAAAATATGCTCTGGGTAATGGGATCATGGGTGTTTTTATACCTTCTAATACATATTAATCTTAGTATAAAAATATATTAAATATTCTTAAATATATAATAAACATTTATATTAAAATATATTAAATGTTAAATATTATTTATAAATAAATCCATACTCAACCGGGATAGAAGTGAATAACATCAATAAAAAGAAAGCATATATTCCTTAATGAATAAAATTCTTATCGTCTTACTAGTTATTTTACTAAAATGAAAGAGTGATTCTCCCAGATCATGTTACTAAAGGTAAAGGAGACAGACATCACTGACCACTAGCAGCAGAAGGTTCAGGTAAGGCAATTCAGATGATCCATGTATAACCCCCAGACCTCTTTCCAAAGAAGACCTATATACTGTCCTCTTATACGCCGGTGAGTAGAGAATCTTACCAACTACAAATTTCAATTCAAACTGGACCATAAAATTATGCTATTTTTACTCCTTTAAATGAGCATGACCGGCTTGAGTCTGTGTGCTTTCAACCATCTCGCATGCCTTCATACTCTGCAACTTAATGGCACGATGCATTTTCCTGGCCACACTGCTGGGATGAATGCTAGTGGTTGTGAACACTTAATCCAGGGAATCTAGATTCTAATACAGTCTAGCACTGAAGGAGATACTGACCTATTTAAAGCCTGTTACTGCTGTCCACTGTCCGCAGGCAATGCCTGGTTTGGAGGTGGGCATGTGACTCAGTTCTGATGCAAAGAAAGTTAGCTCGGGGACCTTACAGTCTATATGGATCGGTTTATTTTTCTGTCCCACTCACTAGAATGCAAGCTCTTTGAGGGTGTTACCTTTAGATGTTCTACTCATTTCTATATCCCAAAAGCCTGTCGACAGTGCCTGACACCTAACCACTTTTTAAATGCTAGGAAGTAGATTTTATTCCATTTAATAGCTAAAAAAACCCCTGAGACTGAGAGAGTTAAAAACACTAGCAAATGCCTGTGGGTAAACGGTAAATGTAATTCTTCATTCTGCATGAGAAACTGGCCTTGGGTTCCACTCACTTTCTAGCTTTGTTCTCTTGATAAGGGTAGATGTCATCTACGTACACTGCTTGTGGTAACGCCCCGACTGGTGGAAAATCATCTGGGCTTGGAGGACTTGGTATGAACTGAAATACCTGGTGGGACAGGTAGGGGTAGGTTTGGGCTCTCCTAAGTGCAGTGACTTGCCCTGGGCATGTCCTTGTGGGGTCCACTGTGCATGAGTTATTTATTATAAGAGATGCTGGTTCTTGTGGAGTGGGGGGGAGTTTAAGCCTGGGTGGTTCCTCCAACTGCCAGATGTGAGTCTTACTCCCTTGCACGTGTGCTGTTCCTGGGACAGCTGTGTGGACTGCTGTGGGACCTACTCATGCCTGCTGTTGCCTTGTGTTTCCTGGTCTGCAGCCAGAGTACCAAGTGTGGCCTACGGTCACTGTATCACTCTAAATGTTTACATGACTTGCCACCGTAAGGCTCACTGACATGTTTAACAACTTAAGCCCAGATCTTATCATAAACCCCCAAATCATTCCTACTATTCATTCATAACCTAAAAGCAGCTAGCTGTAGCATATATGACACAAATTACAAGAAGAATTTTGATAATTTTTAGGAGTCACTATAATAGTCCTTGGGTTCCCATATTAGAGGTCACTCTTGAATGGTTTCTAAAATTTGTATAGACTATACAAATAAAACAAAATCCTATTGATGAAAAAGAAACTATGACCAATAAAATGCATATACTAACTGCAGGACATGGAAACAATAATAGCAGCAATCCTCTCAATTGTCTAAATTTAAGGAGTTGAGTAAAGATTCAAGTCCTTCCTCTTCAACTTTAGGGTGCAAGGAAATAAACAGATGGTTGGAGTCAACAGTGAGTGGAAAAATAAGACCGGAAATCTATAATGAATGTTAAAACATGAAAGATTACCTTTTACATTTTAATATTTAAAAAAAAGATTTGAGGAATACATGCCTGAGTTAGCATCAACTGAATGAATATACACCAGAGGCGTGGTAATGTTTTCAGCCTATTGCAGCAGATATGATTTTAAAGAGATGTGGTTTAACACCACTTTAGGTAACATAGGCATGGAACAAAATGCAGAAATTTGAAAAATCTTTTCAGGTTTTCATGATTAACACGCTAGTGGGAGATGGTTCACTTCCCAATGTCTTGAACTATGCTGGAAAATTTTAAATCACTGTTTTTTTCTATAGAAATAGAATAACAACAAACAAGCAGTCAAAAAACAAAACAGAATTTGCTACTGTTAAAAAATGTGTATTGTGCTTTTTCTTGTGGTCAGAAAGAGACCGGGATTTACCCTCCTTTCTTAGCTGAAAAACCAGACGACATGTGAAACAACTGTTTTGAAACCCTAGCTAACAGCAATGCAGGATGGTGATTCGTGAGGGATGGAAAACATACAAGATGAACTCTAAGACTGCCTAGCTGGCTGCCCAGAGGCAGTTCCGAGGCCAGTGGAAATAGTAGCCTGAATAATTCTGGGAATTCCTGCCAGGCTGGGAAAATGAACTATTCCCACCAGCCTGAGAGAAAATCCCTTCGAGGGCCCTCAAAAGGTTATCAGTAGTGGGAATAAATAAGCCCTGTTCAAACAACTATTATAAATGTGCTGCATATTAAAAATGCAGATTGTCATTTTATTCAAGAGATGGAGTGTTTTACTTAGTTTTCCAGTAAATAGGTTTGAAAATCATGTGTTGCAGCTTTTCTATTTTCAAAATAGTTTAGCTATGCTTAAACTAAGAACACCGTAACTTGACTAAAACTGACCTTTATCATGCAAACACTAGAACATACTTCCTTTTATTGCTTTTTCCCAAAAGTTTACTTTAGGTTTGTGAAGTTCTGTTAAATTACTGCTTATACAACAACGTTCATGTACATCATAAACACTGAAAAGAATGCACATGTGCTGAACTACAGCCTTTCAATTACTGAAACAAAACTTTTTAATTGATAGTTACCTAATTGTGGAGTGTTTGCACATTAATCTTTTTATATTGCAATTAGTTGTATGTTCTGCTTGTATGGTTTAATGAATTCTTGAATAATAAAAAATGGTGTATATGCTTCAAAGAACAGAATGCACAGTTTATCTGTTTTTTTTTTTTAATTCCTAGAATCAAAAGGATCTTAGAGTGATAAAAATGGTGAGTTTCCAGAAAGATCTATTTCCTGTGATACTGTTACTGGGAATCCAGCACGATTATAATGACAGCTGTCTCTATTTCTTAACCAAATTAAATAGTATTAGTACTCAATGCAGAAGTGGCCTTAACCATCCAATTTTATGTCCTTAAGAAAAAAAAAAAATCAAAAGCACCAAATACCCCTCCCCTCTATTTCCTCATTGCCCAGAAAAATCTCAGCATCAAATACATAATAAACTTAATATTTGAGAGTTTCATCTGGGGAAAGCAGACGTACGTACCATAAACAAGTTATTGATATTTTTTGACATGTGATAAATATTTTCAGGTTGTTTCTACTTGTACAGTTAAAAAAATTTATACAAAAATATGAAATGGCGAAGAAAAGCTTATGTTAATCCAATATTTTTCTTATTTCTTACCTCTTTCTGTAGGATTTCTTCTCGAACTTGACAAACTACAAGAGACTCCTGTTTACCCTGCAGCTCGTTAACTTGATTTTGGAAATGTTTTAGAAGTACCTAGGAAATTACATTAGAAGTGCTGAGTTAAGAAAGCTCTTCCTCAAATATTTGAAAAATATAAGAAAACCAACTAATGAATTTCTTTTGTAATAAAAAAAAATTCCCAATATTTTAAAATTACCAAATTCTAACATGGAAATAAATTGCCATAGGAATTAAGTTCATTGGATTAATTAAGCTCATTGAATTCACTCATTATTTTGTTTCAATATTTGATATAAAGCATCATACATATTACAAATTAATGGCTACATAACTACTTGGCTTCTTTATCTCTAGTACTTTTCTTCTGGAGGCCTGAAAAACACCTTTTAAAATAAACCTCTATTAATTATAAAGTCCAAGCATTTTGAAGAAAGTAGCCAATATTGTCTTTATTACTTTGTGACTAAGTAGGATAATAGTTTTTATTAAAGAGCTACTGATAAAATAAAGACAGCACAAGTCTAATATTAGCATGAAATAAATGTCACACATTTTTGGCCAACTGAAATACATAAATACTTTCATCAAGAACCTGAAAACTTGGGAAAAATGCGCAACTCTTACCTCCAGTGCTTTACTTTTACTATTTCTATCATCAGACTATGCTGACTTCCACTTAACTCGTAATTTACAATATCACATTTAGAACTCTGGGAAAGTAACATTAAGGGCACCATGTGTGGCGCCCTGACACTACTTTATCCACCTCTCCCAACTACATACTGACTTGCTATCCTGTTTACACTGCCCACTGACACCCTGCTCCCATTGTGTGTGGGGGGGAGCCAGAGAAGTTATCTGCAACTGCTCTACGATGATTACCTTTGAAAAGCACTCTAAATTTTTCTCACTGAAATATTAAAATAGACAAAATTCTGTTTCTGAGCTACATGAATTATAGACCTCATTACCCTTCAGGCTTCAATCCCCTGAATACTTGAACGCGCATCTCCTTATAAGGACACCTTCTCACAAACCCATAACAGCATTTTTATAGCTGAAATAATGTACAATAAGTTCACGATATCCACTATCTGGCCCTAAAAACAAAATCGCTCAACTGGGGAAGTTTAAATGGGCTCCATGCTGGGCAGGGCCTGAAATCACGACCCCGAGATCAAGACCTGAGCTGAGATCAGGAGTTGGATGCTTAACCGACTGAGCCACCTGGTCGCCCCTGAGTGATTTGTTTTTAATCAAGATGCTATTAAATAATTACTGATGGGAGAGGTGGGGGTAAGATCATCATTTCCTGGTTTCCACCCCTCAGCTTGTTTTTTAAAATTAAAACCTAGAGAAAAGAGCACAATGGACATTTATTCTTCAATTTATCAATTGCTAACATTTTTGCCATATTTGCTTTTTTTTTTTTTTGGAGGGGGGATACAGATACAAATTCTATCTTAATGCTGTTTTTTCAATTTTCTAACACCAGAGAAGGTGGACCACATAGTAGATACTCATGATATTCCATGTAGATGTACATACTAACCAATAAGGAAGATACACTTTTTTGAGGAAATGCAGATGAACTTTCAGCATACTCTGTCATAATTCTAAGAAGACTATGCTTCATAATGGCTACAGCTGTGTGTATCTCTCTGTTGATTATTTTATCCCCAGTGCCTGATTGTGTATAGACCTTGAATCATTATTTGTTTAATGAATGAAAGGTAATTGGGCAAGAAGAACGACTAGGATAATTACTTGTCAGCTGGGACTTCGGTGGAGGGAGATAGTTCAACATTCAAGTTCAAGTACTCAGGTCTCAATCACATAATGTGATTGTACCATCCCTTACAACTGCCTTAGAAGAAGAACTATTTAAGAAATGTTGGGACAAAACTATGAAACCCCTTATTTAGAATAATCTTAAAGTAGAACAGTTAAGGGCGCCTGGGTGGCTCAGACGGTTAAGCGTCTGCCTTCGGCTCAGGTCATGATCCCAGGGTCCTGGGATCGAGTCCCGCGTCGGGCTCCCTGCTCCTTGGGAGCCTGCTTCTCCCTCTGCCTCTCTCTCTCTCTCTCTCTGTCTCTCATGAATAAATAAATAAATAAAATCTTAAAAAAAAAAAAAGTAGAACAGTTAAATGCATGATAATGGCATCCTCTCCTATAAAAAAAATCAAGTCAATAATTTCTCATTTCTATCAAAAAGTGAACTTGAAGCATTTCTAAATAATGTTAACAGTCCTGAAAAAAATAATTTTAAAGCCAAAGAAAGTGTGTTAAAGTCATCTACCTCTTGAGTTGCTATTTTACGATTTAGTTCAGCTACTTTGGAAGAAGAATTTTCTACTGCATTTTGACAAAGGAGTTTCTCTACTTCCCTCTGATGAGATGCTTTGAGAGATGCAATGCGTGCTGCCGTATCTTCCTTGACCCTGTAGAGCAAATCAAAGAAACTCACACATAAAGACAGCTCTTCAATTCAGAGTTAGCACAAAAATAACATAAGAAGTCTGGAAATTAAAGAAACAATAGAGAGAGCACCAATACTTACTGCACTCTGTCAGGTGCTTTATACATGATTGCCTGTGAGATCTTACAACCATGCCATGAGCTATTATTTGCGGAATTTTATAAGGGCAAACTTGAGTTTAGGAAAGAGTGATGTCTCTAGAGTTCATTAGTAAATTGCAGAGCTGGGGGTTCAAACCCAGCAGAGTTGGAGCTCAAAGTCTGGGACTTTCACTCAACCCCAAGCCTGGGGCTATACTTTCTGTTAGAATCAAAGGTTCTAAATGTTCTGTCTGGATTTAAAGCAAGGGCCTCACATTTTATCTTTTAAGATAAACTCAGATTTTTGCCCAGATTCTTATTTTGATAATCACAGCTCCTTTTAGAATCTCCAAAGCTTTGTCCCTAGGCAACATTCACTGGTTTTTGGTCCATGGATATGACTCCAGACCTAGCTGCCATGTCATAAAAATAAAATAATCTTTACGGTAATTCTTTAGGACCCAGCGTAACCCTGCACCTAATTTGTTTGGATTGTTAAGTGTGAGATACTACTGATTTGTCTCTGTGACAAAATTTATGCATTCAGAGGCAGTTTAATAAGTGACAAAGTTCTGATAAACACTTGAGGGGGGTGGGGGGATGGGTTAGCCTGGTGATGGGTATTAAAGAGGGCACGTTCTGTGTAGAGCACTGGGTGTTATGCACAAACAATGAATCATGGAACACTACATCAAAAACTAATGATGTAATGTATGGTGATTAACATAATAAAAATTTAAAGGAAAAAAAATCTTAAAAAAAAAGACATTTCTTACAGATAAGCCATTTTCTCTTATTGGAAAAGTTATTAAAAATACGTATTAATATGGCAATTCCCAAACTATAAACGAATTTATCAGTTGATTATTTGTCTATATGAGTACTTCCTCATGGAAATGGTGTGACTAGGGTCCTTGGAAAAGCATAAAAATCTAAAGCACTTATGATATAATTGAACTAAAGTAAAAAACAAATGAACAAAAAAACCCAAAACAGCCTAAATCTGGGATTGGTAAAGGTTACTCCTCACTTCTCAGGCCCAGAGCTATTTGAAAAACAGATTAACAATACTAAATTATGTATGGAAAAATTTATAGGAAAAATTTCAATTTTAAATTTTTTCCAGAAAAGCGTATGATTCTTTCCAAATACCTTCATTTCTAGTATCACATTCAGGACTCAAGAAATAAGGTTTCAGTTTGGAAGCATTTATGGTTGCCAGGATGACTCAATCAGACATAGCTGCCAATCAATCAATACGTATTTGTCTAGGTGCTTGCTTTGCTCATTCTGCTCCTATGCGAGGTTGCAAAAGTATAATCTTAACATCGGTTCTCAAGGAGTTACAAGGCGGTGTATGACTAGTGCTTTCTTGGTACTTAATATTGGTACTTGGTACATAAATTATAGAGGAGCTGGGAGCAGGAAATTTCCTGGGAGGCTCTAGGAAATATTTTGTGGAAGAGGCAGTACTTGAAGCATGGATGAGCAAAAGGCAGCAAAGACATTCAGCAAGTCAGGCCCATAGAGAAGTCTTGTTAATGGTGATGGCACATGGAAAGCCATGTAGAGTAATTTAATCTTGATACTTCAGGAAGCAGGGAGTCAGTGGAGGGCAGTGTAACTCAGATACAGGAATATTTAAAGAATATTAATAGTTTTTAAGCAAAATGATTGGGGGAGACAGAAACTAAAATCAGGGAGATCACGGTGGGGAAGCTGTCTAGTAAACCAGGTAAGGCTGCTTTCTATAGGAAGGTAGAAAGCAAAAGGAGACGTATTTATAAGGAAGCACCCCATAAACTGTGAGCCCAAGAAATAAAGGAGGTAAAGCTGGACTTGGCAACTGTAAAATATGGTCATAGACAGAGATGGAAAAGTTGTGAGGAGGAGCTAGTTTACAGGTAAAAATGGAATAAAATTTGAGATACTACTGATTTTAAGAGGAACAATCCAGAAAATGGTAGATTTAACATCTGTGCTTAGGGAAGAAAACAAGCCTTGAAAAGTAAATTGGAGTCATGATTCAGAGAACCCACAAGAATGGATGAATTTAGCAATGGAGAAAGAATAGAGAATAAACAGCTGAAAATGAACCATGGTAGAAGTCTGACTTTTGAGGAAGGAGAATGAAGAGGAGTCAGAGTTAGTTAAAAGACAAGGAAGAGGAGTGTTAGTCAGAGGTGTCAGTCATGGAGGTTCTGGGAGGAAACCCATATTTCAGGAAAGTTAATGTCAAGGAAATGAGAATAGAGACAACATCACTGGACCAGAAGAGGTCACTACTGAGAGATGAGATTTAAAAGAGTGGTGAGGACAAGAGCCCTGGTTAAGAGGAAGTGAAGTGCCAACTCTATGGTCAACTAATCTTCGACAAAGCAGGAAGGAATGTCCAATGGAAAAAAAGACAGTCTCTTCAACAAATGGTGTTGGGAAAACTGGACAGCTACATGCACAAGAATGAAACTGGACCATTTCCTTACACCACACACAAGAATAGACTTAAAATGGATGAAAGACCTAAATGTGAAGCAGGAATCCATCAAAATCCTTGAGGAGAACACAGGCAGCAACCTCTTCGACCTCAGCTGCAGCAACTTCTTCCCAGAAACATCGCCAAAGGCAAGGGAAGCAAGGGCAAAAATGAACTATTGGGACTGCATCAAGATAAAAAGCTTCTGCACAGCAAAGGAAACAGTCCAACAAAACCAAGAGACAACCGATAGGATGAGAGAAGATATTTGCAAATGACATATCAGATAAAGGGCTAGTCACCAAAATCTATAAAGAACTTCTCAAACTCAACACCCAAAGAACAACTAATCCAATCAAGAAATGGGCAGAAGACATGAACAGACATTTCTGCAAAGAAGACATCCAAATGGCCAACAGACACATGAAAAAGTGCTTAACATCACTCGGCATCAGGGAAATCCAAATCAAAACCTCAATGAGATACCACCTCACACCAGTCAGAATGGCTAAAATTAACAAGTCAGGAAACGACAGATGTTGGCGAGGATGCAGAGAAAGGGGAACCCTCCTACACTGTTGGTGGGAATGCAAGCTGGTGCAGCCACTCTGGAAAACAGTATGGCGGTTCCTCCAAAAGTTGAAAATAGAGCTACCCTACGACCCAGCAATTGCACTACTGGGTATTTACCCCAAAGATACAAATGTAGTGATCCGAAGGGGTATGCACATCCCGATGTTTATAGCAGCAATGTCCACAACAGCCAAACTATGGAAAGAGCCTAGATGTCCATCAACAGATGAATGGATAAAGATGTGGTATAGGGGCACCTGGGTGGCTCAGTCATTAAGCGTCTGCCTTCGGCTTAGGTCATGATCCCAGAATCCTGGGACTGAGCCCCGCATCGGGCTCCCTACTCAGCGGGGAGCCTGCTTCTCCCTCTCCCGCTCCCCCTGCTTGTGTTCCCTCTCTCGCTGTGTCTCTCTCTGTCAAATAAATAAATAAAATCTTTAAAAAAAAAAAAATGTGGTATATATTACGCAACCATCAAAAAAAGAAATCTTGCCATTTGCAACGACGTGGATGGAACTAGAGGGTATTATGCTTAGTGAAATAAGTCAATCAGAGAAAGATAAGTATCATATGATCTCGCTAATATGAGGATTTTGAGAAACAAGACAGAGGATCATAGGGGAAGGGAAGGAAAAATGAAACAAGACGAAACCAGAGAGGGAGACAAACCATAAGAGACTCTTAATCTCAGGAAACAAACTGAGGGTTGCTGGCGTGGAGGGGGATGGGAGGGATGGAGTGGCTGGGTGATGGACAGTGGGGAGGGTACGTATTATGGTGAGCGCTGTGAATTGTGCAAGATTGATGAATCACAGACCTGTACCCCTGAAACAAATAATACATTATATGTTAATTAAAAAAAAAAAAGAGGAAGTGAGGTGCAAATAAGAGGTTACTTGTGGAAAACTGGTACTGACAGAAAGAGGACTAGGACTTGGTTTGATGACAGTGAAAAAGATCTGAGCATGTTAGAAGGGCTCAGAGGAGACAGTAGACAGTACCTAGTGATTTTGAGAAGGAAAGGGATAAGCACGGAAGTTCTTCAAGGCATGAATGGATGTGAGCACTAGATTAATTTGAAGAGTTACTTTGGAAAAGAAGACCTTTTCCTCTTAGAATATCAACTAGTTTTGTTTTTTTTAAAGACTTATTTATTTTAGAGAGCGGGGAGAGAGAGAGCACATGAGCGGAGGCGGGGGGGAGGGGCAGAGGAAGAGAAACTCAAGCAGACTTTCTGCTGAGCGTGGAACCTGACACAGGGCTTGGCCTTTGAGATTATGACCCAAGCCGAAACCAAGAGTTACACGCCCAACTGACTGAGCTACCCAGGCACACACGTTCAACTAGTTTTAGTAATAGCTGTTTTCTGCAGTCTGTCATCAATGATGACATTCATTTGCAAAAAGGCCCAAAGGGTCAGCTTATTAACACTACCTAGATAAATGCGGAAAGACAGGATTTGTCAGCCCGAGGACATGGTTCAGGTTGACATGGAGATTCAGGTTTATCAGAATCTGGGCTTCCAACAGGTAGAGGATCCTACTCTGAAAGAGATCTATGCTTAGCAATGTAATGCAATTTCTTAAAATTTGGTAATGAATTCAGTTCAGGGTAAAACTACCAGAGGAAATACTTCTTATAATTTTGATGTTTTTATCTTTATATGTCCCCATATAATTACAGGTTCACATTTTACCTTTTCATGGAATTTTCAAATTGGTTCACTGCTGCTTCAGATTTCATCTTTAGCTCATTCCTCTCCACAATTAATCTCTCCAGTTCATTTTTCAATCTGCAGTTTTCTTGTAAAACCTCTGAAACATGGGAATCAGTAAAAGTATGTGGCTGGTAAAGCTTGCCATCCAGGGTTCCAGGGAATGAGTTAGCACTTCCTTTACCTGAATGCAAACCATCTTTCTTCACCCTTTTTGCAGTCACTTCCTCTCTACCCTTAGAGTTCTGATTAGACAGCATCATCCTTCTCTCCTTCTGAAGCCTCTCCACAGTTTTTGAAAGGTCTTGTATTTCTCTCCCCTTCGCAGCCAGCTCCTCATTAAGTCTCACCAGCTTAGCTTTAGCATGAGCTTGTTCTATCTGGAATTCTATAGACTGGAAATCTTTATCATCTTTACCATTTTTCTTGAGTTCCAATTCGGCATTTTGATGTTTAAGAATGTCTATTTCAGCTTCAAGTTTTCTTACAGTGATTTGATGGGCTTCCTTGATGTCGTCGAGCTCCTTCTCTAGTGCTTCAACCCTGCAGGCACTGTCAGGGTGGTTCTGGGGTGCCTCCTTTAATCTGCAGGCAAGTAGCTGCTCCTGCTCCTCTAGTCTCTGTTCATACTGAATCTGAAGAAAAGAATCCATGTAATGTCAAAACCACTGCTAAGTAGGTCATTCGTTACTGAAGCCCTGCGTTCTTTTGGGTCCTACCTATTCCTTCATTCAGGCACTCATTACATATTCTAATGCTTCCAACTCTGAGTTCCCTCAGTCAAATGTACTGAAGTCCTAATCTTAAAAGGGCATAATGTTATATATTCTCCATATGTTGTATAATTTCACAATTGATGTGTTTCTTTATAAACGAAAATTACACATTTCTCTACACCCCAAAACTTATTTTAAGTATCACAATCGAACCTATTATTATGTACCCTTCTCTATGCAAACTGACAAACTGTATGCTTTCAGGAGAAATAGGGAAAGCAATTGGGGGCTCTGAAATCTTTAAGAAATAGTACATTTTCAACTTCCTAGTATCGATTTAGGAATCTCATAGGGAGTAAATCAGCTTGGATTTGTTATACTGGAGCTTTAGTATTACAAACAAAATAACCTAAATAGGTTACTCTGCGGAGGGGGGCACTACAGTGTTTGTTCATTCATTCAATGAATATTTATTGAGCTACTGCTGTGTGCCAGGCACTGTGCCAGATTCTAAAGATAAAGAAGCACAGCCTTCAAACAGTTCACAGCCTGATCAGGAGAGTGACATGGCAAGTTTCAATGTCCTATGATAACTGTGATAACGGGCCTATGAATACGTGCAATGGGGATGACGCACCTCAGTGTGTCTGGAGGCCTGAGAGAAGGTCGGAAGACTGCAACAGAGGGAGCACATTTAAGTTTGGGCTTGAGAGATGAGTGTAAATTTGAGGGTAAGTGGAAGCAGGGGCATTTTGGAAATAGGAAGAATACATGTAAAGGCAATCTAATGTTTGGCGTGTACTGGGAACCAGAAATGAAAAGAAGTGACAGAGTGAGCAGGGACAGGAGGGGCATGGGGTAGGGAAATGCAAAAAGAGAAAAGTCAGGGTGGGTAGATTTAGATATATAAAAATAGGGTAGGGGGTTGGAATTCATGCCTCTATTTGGTGAGTGGAATGCTAATACCAGTTGAATTATTGTAATGATTTATTGAATGTTTGCTGCACTCCAGACAAGGCAGTAGGGCTTTACATATACTTTGCCACTCTATCCCCCAATATCCTATGAATTAGGGGTTAATAATTAAGTAAAGTATTTTAGCATCTGCTCTGTGTCAGGCACCTTGCTGAATGATGGAACACAATGGTGAGTAAAAGCAGAACAGTCCCAGCCATCATGAAGTCCAGAAGCTAGACGGGGAGAGCGGTCACTCATGATCCAAACAAAATGGCCGGAAATGTGGTGGATGCACTGGAGAAGTGCATGGGACTAGAGTGCCTGTGAGATAATTTGTCTACTAGGGAGTCCATGAAGCTCTCACTGGGACAGCAACGCCTGGACTGAGAGCTGAAGGACAGGAATACCTTAACTGTGAATGAGGTGGGCAGAGCATACCAGTCAGAGGCAAGAGTCTGCCAACATGTGTGGCTGCAGGAAACATGGCAAGTAGGAGAAACATGTTAGTATAACAGGACAGAGAAAGCATCGTGGGAGAACACACTGGACAGCGAGTGGGGTCTGGCCATACATGGAATTATAGGCCATTTATTTATCCTAAGAGGAACTGGAAGTTATTGAGGAATATAAATAAAGGTAGGGGTGTAGGGGTGTGTGTGTGTGTGTGTAAGACCAAGGGATATGGAAATATAATTTTGGCTTTATTGTCAAGAGCTGATTAGAGGATGGATGGGGTGAAGTGGGTATGTGTAGACTAGTCAGGAGATTACAACAGTTATCCAGCCATTTTTTATGAATGATGGCCGTAAAGTGACATGGTGATAAAAAGGCACAGAGGAACTGAAAGCAATTTAGGAGTAAAAGTGGTATAACTGGCACTAAGTCAGTTATTATCGCCTTTACATATGAGAGACTCAGCAAGCTGAAGTAGCTAGTGCAAAGTCATGAAGCCATAATGGTGAAACTGGGCCTGGACAGAAGGCTGGTCTGACTCTAAAAGCCTGTGTTTTCCACTGCACTGCAGTCTCCTTCGGATAGGAGGCAGTCTATTAAAAGTAGCGTGGGGTCAGATGAACTTGATGGAAGGAGGTCTGGAGTGAACGTTTAGGGGAATAGAAGAAGAAATCGATTAGCCACAGCAATAGGCTTGTCAAGTAGCACCGAGGGAATTCGCGAGACCAGACACCTACACACCTGTGACAGCCCTACTCTCACAACTGGGCCATCTCCTCAGAAACACAGATTTGTGTGAGAGGAGGAGTGGAGAAAGAGATGGGTGAACTGGAGCAGAAAGCGAGGAAGGTAAGCATGGTTGAAAACTGGGTGGTTAAAAGAGAAGTCCATCTTGGAAGTTAGGAGAGTGAGAGAAGAAAGAGAACCAGGTAGAGAACTGAGAGATTTGAAAAATAGGATGGAATAAGCCCAACTTCCTTGACAGGACCTTAAATTAACTAGCAGGCCAATGTGCTTCCAGGTTTTCAACCTTTCACTGTTTCTGGAATCTAATATCCTATCATCTGTTGCTTCTCTCAGGATGTAAATCTGTGGAGAATTAGATCTGCTTCCTAGAAGCAGCATGGCCTAGGATTTGATGCCTTGCTCTATCCCTCACCAGCAGTAGCACCTCAGGCAAGATGCTCAATTGTGAACATCTCTGTTGCCCTGGCTGTAAAGTAGCGTAGCAATATCTATTTCTCACCAGTGACTGAAGGATGATGCAGGAGGAACTAAAACATCTGTGAAAGCATGCATCTAGCATGAATTACCACAGAAACTGTGTGCTCAACAAATTTTTAAAAGTAAATGAAATACCACATCTTCTTTTATACTTGGTCATCCTAGCACTAGTATTTTCAAATTCTTTCCTCATGAAGGATCAGAAAACTCAGACAGACATTTTCAACAGGCATTGCCCGGCCCCCTGCTCTACCCCAAGACATATTCTTCTTATTCCCTTCTCCCTTATCTAGGGAAATTTCAAAAAAGTATTTTCAACCATGGTAATTAAAAAACAATTTTTTATTGAATATACATCAGAGGTGTTTTACTCTGCCTTTTCATGACTTAATTTCCACTAATTCTACTATCACTGAGAGGGGGCCCTGTGCTTGATTTTCCATGCTTGAAACAAAAAGAAAAGTTGCTGAAGGAGAACAAAAAAGATAGGATGGCTCTAGGTTTCTTTCGCATCTGCTGACACTCATGGCAAAGGTTTTATAGGATGTTTAGGAATTTGTAAAAAGGAGACCTGAGAAGTGGCCAGCCCCCATCATACTGAGACCCTGAGGATCTAGCTGGCTCTTACCTTCATTTTCTGGAACTGCTGTTCCATGGTCCGAAGGCTTCTCTTTGCTTCTTCATCTCTGCCCTCCAAATCAGCCTCTAGTTTTTTTATCCTTTTTTCCATAAAGTCCACTGTATTTCTATCCACTGTGTCACCAGCTGCTGATGCAGCCAATATTAAAGCAGGTAAAGAATTGGGGTATCTTCTCTTTAGAATGCCTTCCATTTCCTTAACCTTTTAAAATATTTTTGCATATATGTAAGGTCACAAATATATTAAAATTAAGCAGTTTGATGTATAAATTTAGATTATGCTCTATCAGTCATGTCTAGATTTCAAAGAGATGTTTATATCACATCTTAAGACTGAATCAAATGCACAAAAACGTGGATTAATTTCAAATTTTATATCGCTAGATTATCTGATTTTAAAACCCTATAGTATAATGTCTAGTTTAGTACTGGTTAATTTATAGAAATCCTCTTATATTTATTTGAAATAGATCGTGGGACTTTCTATTGTAGTAGTAATAGCCAATGTTTCTGAGGACAATGCTCTTTCCTTTTTTCCCACAGACTCCCTCAGATGATCATGTTTATACTATCTATTAATTGAAAAATGACTTATGTGCACATGAATGTACAGAATTTTTGCAATAAACACATAGCTTCCTAAGCACCTGCCCCTACCTGCAACAATTTCCACCCAACCTCATCCCTCCTACCGATGTCCCCCTCCAAATGAAGTTTGATCTATTTTAAAGTTACTTCTTTCGATTAGAAAGCAAGGAGGATTGGATAATATTTAATGAAGTCTTCACAAAAGACTACTTTTCATTTGGTCTATTAAACAATAACATATTTTAATAGTCTTTCTATAAGAAAGAACAGTGCCAAGGCCCACAGAAATTGGAGCATGATATTATATATGTGCATGTGTGTATACTTGTTTTTGTTAAAGGTATTATGGTTAAGGTATCTTAGAAAAACATATATTAAAACATAAAATTCTTTGTTGAGCAGTTTTCTACCCTCTGAGCATACAATACAATAAAATAGCACATGAGAGGTAAAGTGGGAATGACAACAATACCAATTTCATGGCACTGATAAATTTAAGTGAGGATCAAATGACATTTATCTTGGTAAAGTGCTTAGCAGAATGCCCAGCATACCATAAGGGCTTGTTAATATTGTCTTTTATTATGATCTGGTCTCAAAAACTACTTTTCCCTAAGGCACGATGGGTTGCTGGTGCTCAAAATCCTGTTTATAGATTGAATATTGTTCATGTTAAGTATTCAAGGATCTCATCATTTGCAAAGTTAAAAGCAAATATTTCCCTTCATGAAGACAGCTCACACATTCACATATGTACCATAAATTGAAATATATCCAGATACAAATATTGATAATTTCATCTGCAACATTTTCAAAGCTTTGCTTTCTCTGGTATTAAAAATCTAGTTATGGGGCGCCTGGGTGGCTCAGTCGTTAAGCATCTGCCTTCGGCTCAGGTCATGATCCCAGGGTCCTGGGATCGAGCCCCGCATCGGGCTCCCTGCTCAGCGGGAAGCCTGCTTCTCCCTCTCCCACTCCCCCTGCTTGTGTTCCCTCTCTCGCTGTGTCTCTGTCTGTCAAATAAATAAATAAAATCTTAAAAAAAAAAAATCTAGTTCTTTGGAGCAGATCTAAGCATGTGAGTATATACATACACATAACACATCATATATATTGAAAACGATCTCAATTTTTAAAAATGGTTTATAACATTATTCATAATTAATGCTTTCACTTAAAATTTTAAGAAATGTTTTAATCTAATTTTGATTTCTTAAATGTTTATTACATTTTGGGGGGAAAATTTGATTTTATTTATATTTTCTTTAATTTTGCTTTTTAATATTATTCTTTGGTCATTGGTACCAGTGTGGCTCTCCCACAAAGTAAATGCTTTTTTAAATATTCTCAATGGAAATTAAACTATGGAATATTCCATTAAATAAAAGCATGAGTAAAAAACAGCACATAATCTGAAATTTTCATTATAACATGCATCTAATTAACTAGTCCTATTTTTACTTATGTATTATTTAGAAAAGGAGATTATTAATTATTATTAATTATTCTATAATTAATCTATTTCAGAACATGGCTCCAAAATGATTCTGAATATACTGTGATATACCTTGATTTTAAAATATATGTTAAGGTTTAAAATCATCAGGATAAAAATGTTCATGGGAAAAGAATAAGATCTGAAATGTACATGTAGCAAACTATACAAAATACTATTAATGAGCAATATTTTAGAAAGATATAGTTTAAAATGGTAAACCAATAAACTTTTAATGAAACCATTAATAAAAGAGAAAGGTAACCTGTACCAAGTGCTATATTTCTAGTCAATATGGATCATCATGTCAAGCCTTAATTTTGCTTTTAAGCATGCTTCAGTTTTTCACTCTGATACATTTAATTCTACATTATTTCTCTTAAAGTCATCAGGTGGAGAAGAAGTTTCTTTGGTCTTTTTTCTCTCACCGTTCCGGACGGCTTCATCTACATTAGCTAATTTAAATCTTAAGCACTGAAAAATAGCCAAGCAATCCTGGACTATAGTTATTTCAGAATATTTGTAGCTCTTCAAGACACTTCTGTCCTATTTCTTTCCTGGCTACTGAGCCCAACTAAAAATCATACCTTTTAATATAAGAACAGGTCCTGTAAAAGTAACAAAGTTAATTTTTTGCTTAGTTTTCCTTCTCTCATAAAACAGATAATATTCAGCCCAGTGATGACCTCACAGTTTTGGGTTTGTGATGGAATAATGGCCGTACATTGAAGTGTCATGATTTGACTACAGATGCATGCTCCCTTATGGACAGGGCTGGAAATTCTTATTTTGTTTTAATATTGAGTTAAGAATACAAATGTTACATTACAGTTTTAAAAACAGAAGGAGAAAAGTTAATATTCCACCCTACAAAATAACTACTTCAATGAAAAAACATCTTTAGCCTAATCAGCATCACTATATGATTTTTGAAAAGGTCTCCCAGCTACCCAGACCATGAAATGAATATTTCGAAGCTTGACAGTGAGCAAGAACTCAAAATTAAGGCCAGCTTTTTGGAAGGCTAAATGTTCTATTTCCAGGGCATTTTGCAACACTTCCCAAGCACTTCTAACATGTTCCCACCTCAAGGATCTCCTTTCCTGTACTCCTTTCTCACCAAACTTTTATCAGGAGAAGGAATCCTAACTCTATACCCGGAGTTTTAAAATGCTGCTTGTGTCTAGATGTCTAATAGAGCTGGAATACAAAATAACGTTTCATCCACAGGTCTACCATCCAATGAGGCACAAGAGCCTACACATTCTTTATGCAGAAAGCCACAGACTATATAAAATGATTTTGTTTACTACTTTTATTACTGTCACTTTAAGTATTGTATATCAAGTATTTAAAGGGCAGTTCTATATTAGAATAAATTAATAAAAACAAGAATTTTCAGGTCAATTATATTTTGTAGGAACCACTGAAACGAGAGAAAACAAAAATGCACTGTATATAAAATACCTTAGTGAAAATTTACCCTGAACACATACTTGTCGCTCTAGATCCTGAATTTTTTTGGCATCAGCTGCTTTCTCTTTTAAACGTATCTTCTGCGGAATAGATGGATTTCCAGATTCAGCTTTCAGTTTCTCAACCTATCAAAAGGTAAAGAAAATGTTAAGAAGCATATTTGAAACACACCAGAGAAACCCCAGGAGAGACACATAATGTATTCATTCATTCATTTATGAATTCCCAGATAAGGCACTGTGCTGGAGATATGGAGGGCAAACAAGATAAGCCTGCTTTCATAGTGCTTGCACTCCAGTGGAGGAGACACATGATAAGCTAATAAATTAAATCAACGAGTAAATTAAATCAACAAGTAAGTAAAATAACTTCAGAGAGTGACAAGTGCTATGAAGAAAATAAAACAGAGTGACAGATTGGGAAGAAAGGTCAGAACGGTGCAGGATGGGTAGCTCCATTAGATGAGGAGATCAGGAAACGTCTTTTTGGGGAGTAGAAACTGGAGCTGAGACTTGAATGAGGAGTGAGACTTGGAAGAAACCAGGCCAGAGTAATCTAGACCAAGGCAACCCGTGGAGCAAGCATGTTCAAGAATCAGAGGGAGGTCTGGTGTGGCTGCAGAAGAGCGACGTGTGGAGTGTGATACATACAGATGAGGCTGGAGAGGCAGACAGGGTTCAGACAATACAGGGACCTGACGGGTTATGAAAAGGAGCTTAGATTTATTCTCAGTCTAATCGAAAACAGACTACACATCTCTAAGAGCAAACCCAAACCCAAACCAGCTATTTTCATTATTAAAATGTTTAAGGTATTGACTCAATTACACTTATAAGGCTAAGAAGAACTAATTGTTGAATAGGGTTCATCACAGAAATACTTTCTAAAATGATCTTACTACCTCAAGTTTGAGCTTCTCAATTTCTTCATTTGCTTCTTTAAGCCGAACTGCATCTTTATCCAGAAGTTCCTGATTTTCAGCATACCACTGTAATCTTTTTTGCAGACGACTGATTTCTTGCTTATGTGTTTCTTCTAAAATTTTTATTTCGTATAATTTTTCACCTATAAGAAAAAGGAACTCCTGAACTTGATTGTAATTTTCCAAAATATGGAAATAAACTAAATTACATGAAAACCAATGCCTATATAATGAAAGCATTATGAAAAAATAAGAAGCAAAAAAAAAAAATGATCTTTGCAATGTAGTGTCCAGTTTAATCAATTAGTAAAGAGCAATGAAGACTGTCTTCAAAGTCCAAATCCTCAAATTCATAGCAAAATTGGCTGTGTATAAATTTTTTGATAAATCAGTTATTTTCCCACTTTCGTTATAAAAGCAAAGTTGTTTCCATGGGACAATGAATGTTGGATCCAAGAAATAATAAACATGAATTCCTGTAATTATATTAAAAATTGCAACGGGAAACAATAGTGTTTACCATGCATGATTTCATTTAACAAAACAAACATGATGGGCACTATTATTATTATTATTCTATTTTACAGATGAGGAAAGCAAATGTAATTTTCTTACAAACAGGTAAGTGGATTTTATTGTACATACTTTACACTGAAGATCATAATATCACAGCAGAAAGACCCTCACAAGGGCTCCTCTGATCCACTTTTCTAGCCTTGCGTTCTGTCATCCTAAGCTCCAATCCATAGGTGCACTCAATAACAAGCTCAAGAAACACACTCCAGCAACCTCCCTCCATCCCTTCACTTCTGTGTCTTCCAATCTGTCAGGACCCAGCTCAAATGCCACTCTTCCCTAAAACCCCTGTGTAGTATCATAGTACCATGTCTCATGTTTATTTGTAATTTTTAAAACACTAAACTTTTCTGCATTCTTATCTTACTCTCCTTTGTTTTCCCTTGCAGAGAATGTCACATTTATCCTTGTGTTTTCTATAAACACAGTACAGTGTTATTTGTTCATTTGGCAAATACTTGAGAGCCTAGGTTTCAGACCCAGGGACAAAAAGGCAGACCATGCCCTCAAGAAGGTCACCATCTAGCTAGGGTGACAGACATGAACATGAATAAATACAAGATGCCACAAATTCAAAATAATCCTTGATTTTTTCTGATCCTGCAATTATTCCTGCTAAAACCAATAAAATGTACATACCTATTAATAATTGGTTTTTTAAAAATTTTCTAAAATTACAACATACTTAAAGGAATAGCATTTTGATTCCTTAAGTAGTAATGGCAACTATTACTTAAATTCAAGATTAGAACACTTATGAGTATAAAGGTAAACTGTTTCAGCTCAGCGTTTTACCTGTGGCATAAGCAATCTGATCTTTGGCTTGGTCTCTCTCTTTCTTCATTTTTTCCAAGTCTACTTCAAGAGCTTGTTTGTCTTGCTTCAGTCTTTTGACGTCTTCCAATAAACTGTTTTTCTCTTTCTTGATAGTCATAGAGTTACAAAAGCAAATTATTTCTAGCCACAAAAAAATTGTGGTATAGGCTCTCTTTTACCCCATCCATCATAAATTCTACATATGTATTTTTTATAAATACATAATTATTTTTCCTAAATTTAGTTCTGGTGTCATCATGTTCTTCCACCCCGCCAAATTATTAATAATTCCCCATAGCCTACTAGATTAATTCTAATCATCTAACTCAACATAGCCTAAATACCTCCCAATGAACTGTTCTCACTTCTCCTGGATTACTGCAATAACATCCTAACTAGCGTGCCTCTTCCACTTTTAGCAGCTAGTCTATTCTCACAGTAGCCAAAGAGATTTTAATTAAAAAAATATTGAAGTATAACTGGCATACAATAAATATCCTGTTAGTTTCAGGTGCATATCATAGTGACTTGATATTTTTATACATTATGAAATGATCCCCATGGTAAGTCTAGTTATGATCTGTCAACACACAAAGTTTGTACATTATTGACTAGATTCCCTATGCTGTCCATTACACCCCTGTGTCTTATTTTATAACTGGTAATTTATATTTCACCTGCCCTCCAACACCCCCCACCCCCTTCCGGTAACCAACAGTTTGTTTCCTGCACCTACCTGTCTGTTTTGTTTGCTCGTTTATTTCACATGTAAGTGAAATCATACGCATTTGTTTTCTTTTGACTTATCACTTAGCATGATACCCTCTAGATCCAACCATGTTGTCACTTTCTCCCTATCCTATCTAGCAATCCAGTTAAAACAGAAAAGTTTCTTGACATCTTAGCCCCTTGTGAAGGTGGGTGGATGTTTTCCTAGTCTGCTGCCGTACTGAAGGGTAAGGCCAGTTGAACTCCAGGTGTCCTGTCTCCACTTTGCTGTTAAAGCTCCAGCCTGTGGCTACTAAACTGAAGGCCTAGGAGCAGATGTTTACTGTTAGGTTTTTATCCCTCCTCATTTCTGGTCCCTAGAGAGTTCTCTCACTTTCCTGAGAGCTTTTACATTTTGCATTTACAAGATGTTTATTCTATTTTGTCCAGCATTTTCTGATGTTTCTAGTGGAAGTTTTAGTTTCCTGTCAGAAAATATTTTCAAAACAGCACTTTTAAAAGGTTGCTAATAACAATTTGAATAAAGCTGATGTTTGGCTTGAAACCTTACTATGGTTTTCCAAGCCTTCATAAAACACAGTGATATTAATTTCTCTTTTAACTTGCTAATTTTTGAGGCCTACTGGCAAGGGAGTTAGGGAGAGTCCAACCATTCACTCTTTCTTCTAAACCTATCTGCCTAACTACCTACCTCTTTAATCATGTTATACATGTACACATGCACCTGAAGAAAGTTGCCAAATAGATTCATATTTGAAGCTGCATCTTATATACCACAAAAGCCTGCTAAACATGTTATTAAACTAGGGTATGTTTAGATTTCTACGTAACAAAACTATATAATTTCTTGTTAAAAAGTATACCTATCTGGCATTTTTCTAATTCATATAATCATTCAAATAGGTTAGAAGGGCTTTTTTAGTTTCATGCCATGGTTCTTAATGGGAGGGAGTGGGGAGAATTAACTACCATCCCACAGGGGACAAGTTTGGAAATGTGGCAGTGAGCACATACTTCCTGGGGATAGGGATGACAAAAATAGTGCAGTACATGGAACGGTTCTGCTTAAAATAAAATTAACCTGCCCAAAATTCCAAAACATCTCCCACTGGTAAATACCGCTTTAGAAAATTCTAAGCCATATCCTTTATAATGATTCAATAAAAATAAAGAAAAAAAGTTATGGAGCTGCTACTGTATTTCACATCTGTGTTAAGTACATGGGAGGCAAATATTTGTAGACATAGTCTCTGCCTTCTAGAAGTGCACAGTTCATTGAAGACTGGTAAAAAGCCACTTAACGTTTTAAGCTGAATAATCACCTTCAAAGTATTTTCCTATTTTAGCTTACATTTCTAATAAGGAATTTTTGAAATAAGGTATATCTGCCCTAAGTAAGGTTATGCCTCCAGTATGGCTCCATCTGATGATCACTAGATGAGAGGCTGGATTATAAAGAGGATGCATGGAGCACTGGGTGTTATACGCAAACAATGAATCATGGAACACTACATCAAAAACTAATGATGTAATGTATGGTGATTAACATAATAAAATGAAAAAAACAAAAAAAACTAATGATGTACTGTATGGTGACTAACATAATAAAATTAAATTAAATTAAAAAAATAAAATAAAGAGGATGCCATCGAAAACCAGTATTATGTCATTTTCTCTAAGGTCACATGTATATTAAATGCTAATTTCAGATATACCTAAATTTTTTAATGGTATGAAATTTGTAACAGATTTTATCTATTCATAAATTACAAAAACAGATTTTTTTTACACATATGGAAATTTTAATAATAAATTCTTTACTAATGCAACTTACCTGTGCTACCCGTAGTTCTGCTAACAGATCTGTAAAATTCTGGGTTTTGGTGGGCTCTGAATCTTCAACTACTTGAGACAGGAAACGACTTTTGTGCATCTGTTCTCTGATTTATTTTGAAAATAAAAATATTTTTTTTAAACAAAGTACTCCTTTCAATGCAAAATACACAATTCTTAAAATTAAAAAAATCTAATGGACATTGCAACTATTTGAGCCACTGAAGAAAAAAAGGTTATTTACTCTAAAGATTAAAATAGTAAAATAGTAAAAGAGGTATACGGGAGATGTTTATTCAACTTAAAAGAATCGAAACACTAATGTCTTGCTTTCTTTATAATATAAAAATACTTTCTACTAATTCTCAGAGAAACAAAACCCAATGTGTGAGAAAGATGTGCTGCATTTCTCCTGTGGTGTTACATCTTCCCTGCTACATCATTCTAGACTACTTTCTAAGAAACACAAATCACCAATCATACACATGGTAAATGACAAACAAAACCAAACACAGTCTATTATTTGAAGTTAGAATCAATTTTTCTGGTTTTCCAGAAACATTATACAAGGAGTTTAGGACTGTATTTAAAATCATCTAATCCTAATGTAAAGAAACCCTCTATTTCATTGTGAAAGTGCATTTAAAGCTTCAGTCTGGGATCCGGGAATAGATGCTCTTTTAAACCCACGTAATATAAGATGTGATATTTTAGAATGCTTTATTGAAGCATACTTGATTGGAAAGAAATCAGATATAAATGCTTTCACGCATCAGAACTGTGCAGATTATCACAACTGGCTTGGGGTCATATATTCAAGGCCAAAGAAGCTGCTGCTGCTGCTGCTGCTTCTTTTTTTTTAAGATTTTATTTATTTATTCATAAGAGACAGAGAGAGAGAGAGTGGCAGCGGGAGAAGCAGGCTCCCCGCTGAGCAGGGGGACTGATGTGAGACTCGATCCCAGGACCCTGGGATCATGACCTGAGTCGAAGGCAGACGCTCAACGATCTGAGCCACCCAGGTGCCCCCCCTTTTTTCAAGATTTTATTTATTTGGGGCGCCTGCGTGGCTCAGATCATTAAGCGTCTGCCTTCGACTCGGGTCATGATCCCAGGGTCCTGGGATCGAGCCCCCCATCGGGCTCCTGGCTCAGCGAGGAGCCTGCTTCTCCCTCTCCCTCTGCCTCTCTCCCTGCTCATGCTCTCTCTCTATCTGTGTGTCTCGGATGAATAAATAAAATCTTAAAAAAAAAAAAAAGATTTTATTTATTTATCTGTCAGAGGGAGAGAGACCACAAGCAGGGGGGACAGCAGGGAGAGGGAGAGGGAGAAGCAGGCTCCCCGCTGAGCAGGGAGCCTGATGCAGGACTCGATCCCAAGACCCAGGGATCACAACCGAGCTAAAGGCAGACGCTTAACTGACTGAGCCACCCAGGCGCCCCCAAAGAAGCTTTTTTCTAATAGCAGTCCCATCTAAGTGATCAGGTGTCTATGTGAAGTGACACAAAACTGGTGAGCCATTTCCTAAAAGATAGTACCCTAACTTGCCCATGTTTATGAGTTCAGCTTTTTCACTTAATATGTTAAAGTTGGATGTAGTATTATCTAAAAGATCTTACAGATCTTACAGTCCGAAATAGGATTCCTAAGTAGGTGCTGGTGCTCCCTGAGCCTGCCGGGCTAAGTGCTGGTTAATAACAACTCACAAGTTCTTCTCTGGAGAAATGCCCTCAGCCAAATAGCAGCCTCTGCCCCCTGGCCTAGAGGATATATCTCCGACTCCCTTCCTGGGGCATACCTCACCCAGGGACTGACTAGTTTGAGGGTATAAAAGATTGCTCCCCTTGCCTCAAGTGGGACCAACTCTGTGATGTAATCTGTTTTCCTGAGCTTTCTGGTAAGAACAGAATAAATAAAGCCAGTCTCTGGCTAAGACCACGTTCTTACTTACCTTCCCTCCCCTTATCCCATCTTGCTTCTCTTGTTCCCCTTCTCCTTAGGGTTATCCTCCCAGAAATCACCTCCATAAGGATCCCTACCTCAGGCTCTACTTCTACAGAACCTGACCCAAAACATTAAGTGATAGTTATATGATACATATATTTTTAGTATGATTAATCACATGGTTCCTTAGGAAATGGCTAAGCATCTCAGGCTTAATGACTGATCAAGAGGAATACTGTATATTCAATTTCCTAAAACTGATGTGAAACTCAAATATGAGTATGCTAAAAATACTAAAATATGTACTACTAGCCACCTAGTACTAAAAGAAAAATATACTGAATATTATTAAACCTATAAAAGTTACAAACCATAAATAAGTGTAAAATTTTTTCAGTTCTAAGTAAAAATAAATGTATTTTTAATATAACAATAAAATGCTTAGAAATAGTCTACGTATATTTGATTTTACGAATTCAAAAAGAACTTACTTTAAGGAAGCTAACTCACTGAATAAACTCTGGTTTTCCTTGAACATTCGCTCCTCATTTTTCTTGTTTTGTTCTTGGAGATCTTTCACTTGATTATACAATCTTTCATTTTCCTTTTTATAAACAGAAAATTACATTTTAGTTAATAGTCATTAGTACTTACATAAGTACATATGCTCACAACAGATACATCCTTTAAACGTTTTCAAAGTCTTTTAAATTTATTTAGTTTTGAGTAAGCAAAATCTTTTTAAAACTCTTTATATCATCTCAGAAGAAAACCTGTTACCTGAAAACAATTCTTTCCAAAATGCTTACTTGAAAAACAAAGTTGCAAAAATTCCCAAGATCCTAATGTCAGTGTAAGGTGCTGTATTTCACAGGAGTAAGCAGGCTGAGTGGCTACAGAAATAACTACAGCCTAACTGTGTGGACTAGGGGCAGAAAGGCCCACTGGGACTGTCTGCATCCTCTTTTTTCTGATTCTAGCCTGGCTTCCTGCAACGAGGTAACTGGATATAGATAGCCACGATGGGCTTCCATGCTTGTTTCTGGAACTTTCTGTGAGCAGGGAGTTAGAGACCAGGTATTTCTGAAAGTGTAAGGACAAGGCAAAGCAGATACTAGGCCCAGTTCTCCCCCAGCCTTGGACTAAAGAGTGACTCAAACCAATCCGTGCTTAGGTGCTGTGGCTTATTAACTTTTTTTAAAATTAAGAATCTGGTGAAAACCAAGGACCTTTGAGGATCTAATAAAAACCATGGACTGTCTCACCATGTCTGGCCTAGTGCTTGGTAAGATGGTCTGTGCTTAAATACCCGCAATGTAATGTATACAGATATGCAAGTTTTGTGTTATATTTGTGGGAGAAGGTGGTTGGCATCCTTATGGGTCTGTGACATACTCCTTAAAAATGTGTGCTCTCAGGGCACCTGGGTGGCGCAGCTGGTTAAGTGAACAACTCTTGGTTTTGGCTCAGGTCATGATCTCAGGGTCAGGGGATCGAGCCCCATGCTGGGCTCCATACTCAGCACGGAGTCTGCTTGGGATTCTCTCCCCCTCTCTTTCTACTGTTCCCCTCTCCCTGCCCCATACTCTTTTGCTCTAACAAATAAATAAATCTTAAAAAAAAAAAAACCAAAAAACAGAAACAGGTGTTCTCTACAACAAGATCACAACGGCAGGCAAAGGATTTGGAAGGTTCTCACTAACTCTAGGGCAGTGTGCCCTACAAAATCAGTACTATTTCATCTATAGGAAAGTTATGAATCACTGATAGGACAATGCTTTCTCTGGTTATCCTCAGATGACAACGCTTATTATTGACAGGCTTAATGCTTAAAAGTCAAAGAGAAAAAGTTAATGAGTGAGAAAGAGAAGGGGCAGGGAGTAAGGGAAAAAAGGGGAGGAAACTAAGATGAAGTTTTATGCTGGAGATCACTAAACCTGTCCTGGCTGACTGGCTAGTCAGCATTACCAAGAATCCATCACACATGGCAAATATTTGCCTTCTTGTAGGACACACAGATTTTTTCTCATTTAATTCAATTTTTTTCACTCTCAGCACACTGGCCATTAATTTCAGATTTGTATTTCTGAATATAATACCAAAATTAATCAATATAATCTACTGAAAACCATTACAGAAAGCTAAAGAAGAAAAGGGCAGTGTCTAAGGAATACGGCCGTTGAAAATAGTTAACAGGCAACATTCACTAATTGGTTACTGGGTGCCAGGTACTAAGAGGTTGGTTTGCACTTTTATTTTTTTTGCACTTTCATATTTTAATTTCATAACCATCATATGAGGCAGCTACTGTTATTACCATCCCCACTCAGAGATGAGGAAACTGGCTTAGAGAGGTGAAGTGATTTGCCCAAGGCTGCAATGCAAGAGGTGGAGGGAGGACTGACACCGGATTCTTTTTTTTAACTATTATTATTAACATATAATGTACTATTTGTTTCGGGGGTACAGGTCTGTGATTCATCAGGCTTACACAATACACAGTGCTCACCACAATACATACCCTCCCCAGTGTCCCCATGCTCTTAACCAGCTTAATTACATGCCTATGAAAAATGTTCAGACTAGTCAAATTATTACTTAATCATTTTTGCCAGAATTCCTGTTACCCGCTACATGAGCACAGAAATATTTTAATATGCCTTACTTTTTATAATCAAAGGATCTCAAGAACAAATTCACAAAGTGTTGAAAAATCACCACACCTGTTGATATCCTTGAAGAAGTGTCTCTTGTTCCTGTATTTCTTTTTGAATTTGCTTCAATTTTTCTTCAGTGACAGTATCAGCTGTTTCTCCAAAATGTAACCATCTCTGCTTTTTGTTTGTTTCTTCAAAGCTACTTAACTTTGAGAAAATACAGACATTATTTTATTTAGGAAAGGAGATCATGAAGTGAGAGATGAGAAGAATAACAGAAAACTCAAGGTGCATAGACCTAAAACTGTCCTATAACCACAATGGAATTAACACCAACTAGCTAAATCATTACAATGTGATGTTTTGTGCTGATGGTTCTGGTGATGAGAGTAACTCAGAAATGCTACAGAGTGTCATTCTCTGAAGCTAGGCCTTCTATAGCAGTTCTTTCTGAAACTGTCTTCTTTGAAGGTCATAGTGAACTAAGGGATTTGTTTTCAAAAAGGACTGCTAACAGAAGAAAATTATCAAAATGAGCCAATTTAAATTTTGATTTTTTCCCAGTGGGTTCGATTTAGGCTCTGTTGTGAGGAGGCAGTCTTGGCAACCATGTTCATATTTTATACAGCAAATACATCAAGTCAAACAGTCCCAGGAACAAAGGATGACAACGCATTTTTGCAGGGAGTACAAGTTCTTTTTAATCAATAAAAGGAGAAACAGGACAATGTGTCTAGTACCTTGGCTTGAAGAATGTAATTGTCTTGGTTCAGTCTGAAGAGTTCCTTTTCCTGTTGTCTCTTTAGTTCTTCCATCTTATTTTCCAGCTCTCTCTCTTTTTCTGAGAATGTAACTTTAATTTGCTCAATTAGGGCTTGTGCACCCCTCCATTTTTCCTCTGCTTCCTGAACTCTTTTAAACATAATTAACTCGGTCTCCTTGTTCTCACCATGGTATCCTGAAGAATCCTTTTAAGGAGAAGCATTACTTCATTATAGTATATTTACATACTAGGTTTGAACACAGGTGGTTAGAAAAAAAAAAAAACACAATGAATAAAAATGACATGGTTAACAATGTTCTGCTATGGAAAGAAATCAATAAATGTTCAGTAAGATTAGCACATCATGCTTGATGCAAAACAAATTTAATTATTTATTAGTTTTAGTATTATAAAACAGAAAAAAATTATGAATGTGATTTTGAAATTCAATACTTACATTCTGAAACTGAACACAGTAATCAGTTTCTGTAGAATCTTCAGCCTTCTTAGGAGTAGCCCGGCAACTTTCAGTTTTGGGAGCTGCTTTACCCAAAGCTGCGGGCTTGATGACTTTTGTTCCCGATAAGATTTCTAAGTATTGTAAACAAAGGACAGAAGCACCACAAATGCAAACAAAGTTGAATGTGTATTCAGCAATCATGTAACAATAAGTACTAATACAATGGGAACAGTAGGATAGAAGAGGATCTGGAAAGAGGCTGGGGTCTAACTCTGTAACACGGCTGTTTCACTGCAGTCAGAACTGCTGCCCATAATCAACATTTCACTCAGTTTGACAGAGAAGGCTAATTGACCCAAGATTCATATCAAATGATAAACGGAGCTAAAAGAATGTGAGGAGAATGTGGACAGGGATAATTTCAGGCCTTACTAATTTTAAATACTATTCTTTAAAATAGTCAGTCACAGCAATAACAAATAAGAATATCCAAGTGATGAATCAAAGAGAAGCTGATTAACTTTACGAAGCACTTCAGTTCAAATTAAGGGTGCTTTCAAAGCACACTTTTTATAAATAATGTGTATCAAGATATAGTATCAAAGGAATAATATAAATTGCATGGAAACTTTATAACAGCTAGTCTAAATTTGACTTAAAAGTAAAATTATAATACTGCTACAAAACCCTGATAATTATATTGAATTAAAAAAATGTGATTAATGTATGTTCTGGTCAAATTTTCAGCTTTTAAGGTACCTCATAAAGCCCCAAACAGTAGGAATAATTCTAAGGCCAATTAATTACTCAGTAAACAATAAAAAGAATGTTTATGAGAAATACCTTGAAGAGATCTTGAGGCCCATATTCAAATACTACAAGCTGAACCGTCAGTAAACATTCATTTATCTGCCTTAGAGGTAAATGAAGAATTTGAAATTTATATTTTTAAATATAATTTCTTCAAGATGCTAACTTTTAAGTGTAAAGTTTACTTTTTCATTAAAAGTGAAAAAATACATGGTTATTAAAGATTTGGAGAATACAGAAAAGTCAAAAAAAGAAACAAGTCACCAGTAGCACCTCACCCAAAGATTTCTTTTTAATCTTTTTTGCAGGCATTCAGTGGTTTTCTTTACAGAGTAGTAGTCATATGAAATTGGACTATTCCATGTAGGTTTTCTGGAGAACTTAAAGTGTTCAAAAAGAAACAGAGTCATTGTAAAAGCTGGCATTCATCCTTCCAAGTCACTGGAGATCCATTAATGTGGCCAGTGAATGAGGTGTGATCTGCTAGCACTGTCATTCTCCCCAGGAAGTGGCAGCTAAGGGTGGCAGGTGGTTCTTATTCAAGTTGTAGTCAGCCAGTGCTTTCATACCAGAATTCTCTCTTCTTGAATTCTTAATTTTGATTTCTCTAAGAAATTATTTTTAGTAATGGTACATAGACAGTATCTTTTTCCTTTATACATGAAGAAAATTTGCCTGGATAGAAAACTTAAATATGAAAACATTGCAGAATTTGGACCTCATGAACCCTTCTTGAAAAAACAATGGATTAAGAAAATTTAGTCAAAAAATAAGCCAATCAAAATAATTCCACAATGGAGAAGCTATGGCTAAGGGATTTGTGAAAAGCATTCCATCTCTTTAATAATCAGAATGAAGACCTAAATTCAAAAGCTGAGGGGAATTAAGGTTGCAGGACAAAATATAATAAATAAACTTGAACAAGGAAAAACGAAATCAACAAAAATGAGTAAAAGGAATGTGAGTGGTGGATATAAGAGTTTTACTACCTTATATTTCACAGAAGGGAAAACTGATAATGTATAAAGTTGAAAATGCAGTTAAAAGCAGCATGATTCTGGCAATTTTTTGAGTGGTTTTCAAAATCTGTTTTGTTTTTTTTTTAAAGATTTTACTCATTTTATTTGAGAGAGAGAATGAGAGCGAGAGAGCACATGAGAGGGGGGAGGGTCAGAGGGAGGAGCAGACTCCCTGCTGAGCAAGAAGCCCGACGTGGGACTCGATCCCGGAACTCCAGGATCATGACCTGAGCCGAAGGCAGTCGCTTAACCAACTGAGACACCCAGGGGCCCAAAATCTGTTTTCTTAAAGGGTTCTTTTGGGATATAATATTTCTTAGGATGAAGTTTCTTTTTCTTACAGATTTAAGAAAAACTAAATCTAATATTTTATTTAAAAGAACCTGTAGGGGCATCTGGGAGGCTCAGTTGGTTGAGCATCATGTCCGACTCTTGATCATGGGTGCAAGACCCGAGTTGGGCTCCCCGCTTGGGAGTCTCTCCCTCCCTCTCCCTCTGCCCCTCTCCCCACTCATGCAACTCTCTCAAAAATAAATAATATTAAAAAAAAAAAAACTTGCAAAGAGTGATCCTGTTCTTATAAAATATTTTGTCCATTTAGCCATATGTCTGCCTCTCTCCTTCCATCCACCATCTATGCTTCCTTCTATCTGTATAAGGACATACACATGGAAGCATGAAATGATGCTCACTCAGTGTGACACCCATTGCTTCTTGCTAAATGATTGCTTTCTACTTTTCTGTATTTTTAAATTTAAATAATGAGCAACTATTCCTTTTTTGACAAGAAGCTTATTAGTCTAGGGGTGCCTGGGTGGCTCAGTTGGTTAAGCGTCTGCCTTCGGCTCAGGTCATGATCTCGGGGTCCTGGGATCGAGCCCAGCGTTGGGCTCCCTGCTCAGTGGGGACTCTGCTTTTCCCTCTGCCCCTCTCCCCAACTTGTGCTCTTGTGTTCTCTCTCTCTCAATCTTAAAAAAAAAAAGAAGAAAGTTATTAGTCTAAAAATAAAAACGTAATAGGCAAAGAAAATTAATTTAAAATAAAAAGGAAAACAACCACACAGCAGGTACTGCTAATTGCCAATCTCCTCTTCCCTATTAATAGAAACCTCCCTATTAATTTTGCCCTGGGCAGCAATGTACCCAGTTGAAAATACTCATCTCCCTGGACTCCAGGCAACTGAGGGTGGCCATGAGATCAAAATTCAGGCTAATAAGATGAAAGCAAAAGTTTCTTACATGGTGTTTCCAGAAAAGTCACTACTTCCCTGATGAAGAAGTCGATGACTTAACTGGCATGGACCTTTTACTTTTTACCTTTCCTCCTGACCCAGCCTGGAGGCTGAAATAGCCACCTTGTTATAATGAAGACAAAAGTCACAGATAAAGGATTTTGCAGCAGGAAAGAAGAAGGGATCTGGCTCTTTGCACAGTGGTACCAGGTCTGAACTGCCTATTCCTGCCTTCTTGTTACATGAAAAAGAGAAACTCTGAGTAAGCCCCAGCACCTGGCTTCTTTTTCATCCTAAGGTGTATTCCAAGTGCATTCTCTAGACTTTCTGAACACTAATCTGTTTCTCAGAGACTGCTTGTTGGAGAACCCAACCTGTGACAAGTAACAACAATCCCAAAGGAATTAAAATTCTTCTGAATAAAACTAAAATTGCTCTGGGGGAATTTTACAATAAAAAGAGATTTAAAAAATCATAATAAGTCTAATAAAAAAAGTAACTTAGTATGAAAATGGACAGTCAAGGTTTATCATTGTACTTTAATATAAATTCTACTGTTTTATTTTTATTTTGGTAGTCACAAATACTATAAAATTTTGAAACAGGAAAAAATACTCATAAAGGTATTGTTGGTTTCCTCTATCAACCTCTCAATCATGCGCCTCGTTTCTTTTCCACCCACTGTGACATTCCTTCTGTGTTCATTCTTAGTAATTTCAATACACTCATAGTGATCCTTTCGACCCTTGGCTCTTGGGTCCTTATACTTAACCTCCCCACCTCAGCTACTTACTTCCACTGGTATACTCTAGGCCGTTTCTCTACTCGTAACACAATCACTTCTAATCTCAGTCTTAGGCATTTCTTCTCTGTCAATCCTTGCTCCCACTTCATGCCCCCTGGTATTTGGATTCCATCAATCCATTAACCCCAACAGTACTCATAGACGGTCGATCCTACCTGTTTCATACTGTATTACACCCCTTGATGTCCTTTCTTCCTTCCTTACTCAATTTGAAGTCCACATACACCATTAGCTCTCTTCTTGCTCCTCTCAGTTCATTGCACTCATTTGGCAAAAACCACTCTTCTTGGTAAATCCAACTATACAACTACCCAACACCTGCAATCATGTAGCAAAATGTGGACATGCACAAACACACACACACACACAAATACGTTGCCTGGTATCAATTTAAATCCATAATCACTAACTTCAAGAAGACTCTGCTGCGGGCAGTCTAGTCCTCCAGGATGGCTATTTCATCTCTTCTCTCCTCTCCTCTAACACTCCTACCCCATCCTCAATGCCAGCTAATGATGCTATGTTTTACTTCTCAGAGAAAATGGAAGCAATCAGACGAAATCATCCACATTCTTTCACCACGTCTACCCACCCACCAGTATCTGTGTCACGTCCTCCCCTTTCCCATCTGTTTGCACAGATGAATTGTCCACGCCTCTATCTGGAGCCAATCCTTTCAATGAACTCTAGATTCCATTACAGTTCCTCTACTCAAGGACACTGCTCTAGCAATTCTTCCCCTCTCACCACCATGAATCTACTCAAATCTTTCCAAAATGCATAAACATACTATTAGGCATACTATTATTCCTACCATTAAAAAAAAAAGCAAAACAAAAAGCTGTCCTTGACTCTACTTCCCATGCCAGCTACTACCCCATTTTTTTCTGCCTTTTACACTCTTTCCTCCTGGTCCATAAAGCATCCAGTTCCCTCCTATTCTCATTCGGCCCACCTTTTACAGCCACATAACCATGGGAACTGTCCAGTTTACTGATGACCTCCTCCACGCTAAACCCAAAGGTCAGTTCCCAGTTTCCACTTTCCTTTCTCTCTCAGCAGCAACTGACAAATAAATCAATTCTCCTTTCTTCACTTGGCTTTCAGGATCCCACATATTCAGGTTTCTTCCAACCTTACTCTCTTCTCTTTGCAGGTTACTCCTCCACGACTTCCTAAGGTTAGCATGCCCACAGCTCAGGCCTCGGTCTGCTTTTCTTCTATAGCAATGCTCACTCTCTTTGTCAGTCTCATGGTTTAAAAACCATCTATATTAGTTTTTTTCTTTTTTTAAGATTTTATTTATTTATTTCCAGAGAGAGGGAGAGAGAGAGAGAGCCCAAGCAGGGGGGAATGGCAGGCAGAGGGAGAAGCAGGCTCCCTGCTGAGCAAGGAGCCCAACATGGGACTCGATCCCAGGACCCTGGGATTATGACCTGGGCAGAAGGCTGACACTTAACCAACTGAGCCACCCAGGTGTTGCCCATCTATATTAGTTTTCACAGTAACTCCTAAATCATATCTGCAGTCTACACCTCCCTCTTGAACTCTAGAATTTCTAACTAATTAGTTCCTTGTTGTCTCCACTTGCATGTAGAACAGTCATTTCAAAAACAAGAGAAAATAAGGCAATACAAAAGACTTTGTAGGGGAAGGAATTAGAGGTTCACAGGTTAAGAACAAGATGAAAGGATGCTTGCATTAATCCTACAGAATTATATTCCTGTCTCTACAGAATAACTACCTCCTGCTGGTATTCTCTACTCTGACATAAATCAGCCTTGGCCTTCCTTTTCATCTTAGATGCACAGGTTGCTGCAGCAAATACACACAACACAAAGGCAGGAGAGAGTCTTTAATGCCTAAAGAATTTAAAATAGAGTTAAAGTGGTCCTGGACTTAATATCTATTGTCTTAGGCAAAAGCAAGGAAAGACATTTCAAGCTAGAAATGAATTTTCCAGTGAGGACAGTTCTCTTCATGACAACTATCACCATATAACAATGATGAAATTGGTCACCTATTAAATTTAATCACAAAGGGAAGGACAAAATGCTTCTGGCTCCAGAGCTCTCCCTTCCTCACTGGAATTTAAAGGCAGTAGAAATGTTGGTTTGATCTGAACATTTCTATTCTTTTAATAGCTGCATGGGCTCCTAAGTTGAAAATTATCCTTTCCTACTGTCACTATAAATGACTGCATTAGGAAATAACAGAGGCACTGCGATATATAAAAATACGCATTATGTGCTATATAAAACATCCAGCCTGGCTCAGTCTATACTGAACCAATATCCAAATAATGTCTATAATCAACCTTCATTTGTAGGTTGCCATTTGCATTCTGAATTTGTAGTTCTTCTCTGGTAAACACTGGATATTCCAAAGTCAACCAGATGAGGATGGGTTTGACTCTCCTATTCACTTCCCATACTTTAGGAGTGTCATTCAGGAAAGCCTAGAGCCAATGACCAAAATCCTCCTGTACACTGAATCTTTCAGAATGGAATATCCTATCTTAAGGTGAATTCTTTCCTATGAAAATAAAAGTTCACAGAAGGAGATAAAGAAATAGGGAAAGCAGAGAACAAGGAAAGTAAAATAATATACTATACGCACAGAACTCTATTACAAAAAGAGCACATAATTACCTTTTTTCCTAGCTTGATTTGAAGTGGGAATGGATCTCAAGTTTTTGCTTTTCATAATGTCCTTTGAAGTTTTCTTTTCAAGAGTAGGAAAAGTCTTGAATGGTGAACTGGATTTGCCATAGCCTGAGCTCCTAACTGATGCATATAATCCACTCTGGGGTTTTCTTTTAAGTAATGGAGGTGCACTTTTGGCCTTCTTGTATGGTACCTGTTTACCAGTTACAGCCCCTTCTTCTCCAGAACCGAGTTGTTTGAAAGTCTGCACACAAGTAGCAACTTTTTAGGACTTAAATAAACTTCAACTACAGTTGTAAATGAAGATTTAACAGATCACAAAAGCACAGTGATTACTAAATGATAGTTTGTATTATTATATTATATATATATAATATTACATACATTATATATATATATAATATATATTATTATATTATAAGGCAAACCACTACACATTGAAGTTCTCAAAGTCTAACTCATCAGAATTTTAGTATTTTGAAGCACATCTTCACAGTCAGGAGTAAAACAAAGCAAAATAAGAGAATAAAATAAGCTTGCCAGAAAACAAGATGTGTAATTACTAGAATTAATATAGAAGAGAACAGGAAAGAATGTTTTCAGATGACATAAAATTTTATCTTTTTTTCTCCATAAGTCTCAAGATAAAAATGTATTAATACCCTGTCTTATTCCACAAAAAACTGGAGACAGTTTATGGTAAACACGTAACTTAAAATTGTAAAATAAAACCAGAATATTGAGATCAAGGAAACTATAAATCAGAACAGATCAAGAACAGAAGAAAAAGGAACAGTGAAATATAACTTTCTCAACAGCTGCTAATAGCATTTATATAAAATGCCAACTTACCTGCTTTTGTAGAACACACACTACTGGAAAGATTTAAAAAGCACTAGAATGATGAATAAACTTTATTTTCTTGTGCTACTCAAATCCTGGACTACGCTTATTAAAAACAAATGAAGAATGTAAAGAATGGCTTCCAAAAGAAAGCTAATGCTATGGTGGTATTTTAAAATTTGGGGACTATGGGATGTTGTAATAAATACTGCTCACAAATATAGAGGATCTATGTGGAGGTTAGTATGCAATCAATCCCACTAGCTTAAGAAGTACCTACTTATCAATAGTATTTATATAACTTCATTTATCAATATTTCAAATCAACTTAGATTATAAACACTTACTTTATTTATTTTGTCATCCTGAGGCAATAACGAAGGACCAACAGATAGTTTTTTCCTCAAAATATCAAGGTACATTTTATCTATATGTTCTTCTGTAGTATTTACTCCTGGACAGCCATTTTCTACACCTTTATTTGTTGTCTTTTGTAAAACCACATTCTCTTCATTTCTGTCAAAAAATTGGTTCACATTTTGTGGCTCTTGAGATATAATATTTGGGTTCGTCTTAAGGGATAAAGGGCTAACAAATTCAGTTTCTTTTCTATCAGCCAGTTTCTTATAGCTATAAAACAAAACAGAGAATGAACCCTAAGTGACTCCTCAAATATCAATTATATATACATATACCATACATATCACATATATTTATACACACAAAATATAAGAAATATTTATATTTTTATGCATATTATTATTTATATATAATATTTGTAACTACTCAAATTAGGATATTAATGTCAAACACATTATCTGTAATTCTGGTTAGCAGAGTATACTCATATAGTGTCCCATAACTCTTTTAAATTTCAGATAATTTAATGCAGTATAAACTGGATGACTCTGAGACCTACTTCAAAGGAAAGACAAACCAAGCAATACTGAGACTGTTTTTGTGTAAGAAAAAATAAAAATTGAATTTCTAATAAACTCTGTAATTAATGTTTTATCCATAATATCATGTCAGCATGCATTTGAGGCATGAAAAACATTTTACACATTTTTAGAAGAAACTAAAGAATAATTTATGTCAATGAGAAATAGAGTATAAATATTAAAAAGCATAAATTTCATCACAGTATAGGAAAAATTTTAAAGTAAAACAGGAAAATCACTAGTATCTTGAAATAAAATTATGTCTGTGGTTTAAAACACTTAAATACAATGTAATATTTCAGACCATTCAATTTTTTTTTTTAAAGATCTTATTTATTTGACAGAGACACAGCGAGAGAGGGAACACAAGCAGGGGGAGTGGCAGAGGGACAACAGGCTTCCCGCGGAGCAGGGAGCCCGATGCAGGGCTCGATCCCAGGACCCTGGGATCATGACCTGAGCCGAAGGCAGACGCTTAACGACTGAGCCACCCAGGCGCCCCTCAATTTTTAAAATAGAGAAAATATCCCTTACGGAAATGTTCTGGTTAAACTGGTTAAATATCAGTATAGCATAGGGGGTCCAAAAATATGGATATTGTTATTTTCAAACTGAGTACTCATGGTCTATTAGGTCATTTAATTTTGTAATTTATAAAATAAGATGTCATTTATAAAATAAAGTTTAAGAGGCTACTATTTTCTTGTAAGACAGATCGGCTTCTCAGTAACTGTTAGGCCTTTCTAAAGTAGTTGGAATCATCAGAAAATATAATAGTTCTTTCCTTCTTCAGGTAGCAGAATCTGGCTAGAAGCTCATCAAAACTGTCTCCTGTTCTTTCTGCATACTAACTAAACTACATTTCCTTGCCTCCCTGAATCTAGTTGGGGCCAATTACTAGTTCTTGCCTTTAGAATGTGAGTGCTATGGTGACAAGAACCTAAGATACGTGTCACTGGCTCAGTGGCGGGGTTTTGGGTGGCAAGGAAAATGATACTAGAAGCTGGAGAATGGCAACCTATGTTTTACAGTGACAAAACATTTGCCAAACAATCACCTACAATGGTTTATAAGGCAGATCACATGGCTACTGAGTCTGGGTACTAAGAAAAATGGCAGGAGAGTTTCTAAGTGCTAGCTACTATTGACTACTTTTGACAAGATACGAAAAGAAAGATATGAGCTCAAGATAAAAAAGGGCCAGTTTATAAGAAGAAATCAAAGGAAACAGAGAGTCTAGAAACTCAATGCCTCTAAGGTTCACTCTCTGTGAACCTAACAGTAGGATTCAGCATTGAAAAATGCTATGAAAAAGCAGGATTTCATGAGACTTCTAAGTTGAAAAGAGTGACTCAGTCCTTTGACAAAGATCATACTAAAGGAGTCCTCTTCACACTTAAGGTTATTGTTCTCAATAATATACAGATAGCTGCAACTGAATTGAGAGGAAAAAAAGAAAGAAAGAGGGACAAGCAAAGCAAATACTTAAAGCAGATTTAAAACCTCTGACTAGCAAACTGACTTTAAGTGTAGTTACTGGCACATGGGACTCACTGGAAACTAATAGATCAGAAGCCTACTAAACTTTTTGAAGGAACTGTAATGACAAAGAAACTACAACCATATTTATAAAACAAACAATAAAAGCCAAAGACTTATTTGGGAGCCTTAAAACCACCTGCAGGCAGGAAGTGGACTAAGAAAGGAATGCATCCTCCAAGACGGGCACAGCCTCCCCACAAAACCCACTTCAGTTGTGGCAAGAGTGTACATATTGTTATAAGGCCCTTCCCGTGGATTTCAAGGTTGCATTATTTGCTGTATTTTCCTCATATTTTTCCCATCTTAATGGGAGTATTTGTTGCAGTTTCGCTATCATATATTGGATGGGGGTGAGGAAGTAGAGAACTTGTGTTTTTAATTCATTGATTAGCAGACAGTGAGGAGCTACATTCAAACCTGTTGGAGAAGACTGTGCTTCACCTGGAAATCCTGGTCTTTTAGATGGACACAGTTCTGAATGGGACTTTGGGCTGTTTGCTTTGGGGAGGGGATAGTGGGTCTGTGTGTATGAAGAAGAGTAAAATGAATTATTTGGTTATTAGAAGGGTAGATTCTGGTAGAGACTAACTAGATGCCTATCAAACTCATTTAACTATTCTTTCTAAGCATATAAGCAAATCCTATTTCTTTCTGAGCATATAAGCAAATCCTATTTCCCAGCCTCTTGGACCTTGTTAGCTAGATGTGATGGTTCTTACCAACAGAATGTGAACTGAAGTGATGTAATACTTCTGTGTTGAGGCAGTTAAAAGGAATTGTGCCAAATTACCTTTTTTCTTTCTTTATCAACTGGCTGGATGAGGCCGTGACAACCTTAAAACCATGTGTTGATGACAAAGTAGCCCGGGTCCCTAAATGACTATGTGGAATACAGTCCCATCCGAACCCCACTGACACACATGGGATTATGATGTGAGCAAAAAATAAATTTTTGATGATGCTTAGCTACTAAAATTTTAATAATCCTAGTAGCCAGGATTATTTACTCTACAGTTTACTGAAGAGTTTTCAGATATGTATACTAAAGTTTATACTATTGACATTTCCGTAATGATTGTTCTGCCTTTGATGTTAGTATTCTTGTTTTTAGACCTTAAACAAATGAAAAAATCTCTACTTAGAAATTACACATTAGTAAAATGATTCCACCTATGCCAACAAAGACACAAAGATACGTAAGCACATCTCTTCATTAATACTAACACAGCCCCCAAACAGCAATAAGTGAGAATAATCTGCCCTTGAAAACATACTAACTAGTGCTGCAGATTAGTGGAAGAATACTAGACTTAGCATGCAAGTAGACTGGCTTCATTGCCTCGTTTTCTCTCAGATGGAACAAATGTAGAAACAGGATGAGAAATCACTGCAAGTGGACTTACATGATGAGGATGTAGTATAAGGAGGGACTCAAACTGTGTCTGCTGAAAACACAAATGAACGAATGAATACATGGAGGGAATGACAGGCTTCTCACAGAAATATTTCATGGAGATCAAAGATCTGACAGTGTAAGTGTTTAAGCACATGGACTTTTCGTGTTTCCTGGTTATAACCATATGATCTTGAGCAATTTCTTACACTTTTTTGGGGGGGAGGAGTGGGAAGGAGCTGAGGGAGAGGGAGAGAGAGAGGGAGAATCTCAAGCAGACTCTATGCCCAGCGTGGAGCCCAACGCGGGGCTCAATCTCACAACCCTGACATCATGACCTGAGCCAAAATCAAGAGTTGGACGCTAAACCGACTGAGCCACCCAAGCCCCCCTATTTAACTTCTTTAAGCCTCAGTTTTCTTATCTATGAAACGGAGATAATAAAATATACCGCACAAAATGGCTATAAGATTAAGTGAAATCTAATATGTACAGAACTCTGCACAGTACCTGGCCCACAGTAAGCATGTGATAAAAATGTTAGCTGTCATCACCACCACCATCACCATCTCCATCACCATCATCTGGTTCTTGTGAGAGCTCCACCATTAAACTGGTTTACCTCAGTTTCAACACTTGAATGATGCAGATGAAGATGCCTGCCCTATTTGTTATGATGGATGTGACACAAACGCAAAGTTACTGTGATGTGCTACTCTGTGTGCTGGAGAATGACAGCGAGGTCCCACGAGCTTCCATTAAAATGTACTGAAGCCCGCTGCTCTTGTGACCAAAACACTTACCCTGTAAAAGGATGGCTGGTCTGTGACTAAGTGCAAAACTAAGTGGTTTATAAAGAAGCAAATCTACAATGCATAGAGAATAAACTTCATGGTCCCTCTCACTGTTCAAATCAGCTGCCCTGAGCTATTTAAAGCTGAAAGGATTTTAGTTTCCAGTAAAAAGCCGTCAGACTACTTAAAAAAAATGGCAGCATTTTTTTTTAGTGGCATCTATTTAAAAAATATATATTTTTTTTATTTTAGCACTAGAAGAATTTTGATAAACTGAGTAAGAAGTACTAATAAGAAGAGAGCAGTGACTCACAGGTAGACTCATATAAGCTACCCGTTAAATCATTCACTAGGAATGAGTATGTAAAAGAAATGACTAAAAGTTTCCAGCAACAAAACAATAAACAAACAAACAACCTGCACAATTCATTCCAAAAACCCTCATACCTGACAGGTTGTACATCAAAACCACTGACACCAAAGGAATCTATTCTGATAGGTTTCATCAGCTCCTCTACCGTGGGCAGATCTAAGAGGAAAAAAAGTTAAAATAGCAACCCAAAAAATCATGTCAATTGCTTAAAGTCTAATCCCACTAAGATTACATTTTTTTCTGCCTGACAGAGTTCACAAAATGGCATATACAATAAACCCAGTTTCCCACTATAAACTTACTTGTACCAAGAAAATCTCCTGATTTATATATGAATATATATACATATTTTAATGTATCTAACTATACAATATCAAAAATATGTGCATGGCTATGTCCATACATGCACACACATTTGTTAAATATATTTCAGTTGATTCCAAAATACTGTTCTCTATTTAAAAAATAACTTTAGTATAGAAAAGCATAAAATAAAGTGAAAACACTTAAGTGATTTCCTAATTTGTCCAAGGCATACTGAAGGAGGAACTGAAATTTTATCCCATGTTCGGCTCTAACTTTATAGTTAAACCACTGATTCCCAAATTCCATTTTAACAAACCCTTTAAGTGAAATTCAGAGACTGAGAAACAATCACTACAGCAACCGGCACTGGAATTATACCACACTAGAGACTGTTCGGAGAGGGTCTCGAGTTAACTTTTACCAGATTCTGTAGTAGAGATGTTTTTAGAGGACTCTTCATTTTCTTGAGGATAATCTTTCACTGAGCTCTTGATATTTTCCACTGCATTACTCTCAGTTCTCTGCTCGTCTGCATCTCCCAAAGAATGGGCTATCTGACAATAAGCCTGATGGAGAGCTTCAATGTCACTATTGCTTTGTCCATAAGAAACACCTGTTGGAACAAATGTCATCTCCAGTATAATCACACAAATACATGAAAGACATAAAACACCAGTATCATCCCTTAATGTGTCTGGAATGGTGAACGAGGTTGGTGGGACAACAGCAACATTATAGAGGTAAGTACGACCCTGGCTAGTGTGGAGCTATAGCCTAACAGTACAAAATCAGAGCAGGCTCAGTAACTCTTTAGCAAGTTGAGATGTGTCCTGACGCAGGAACTGTAAATAAACTCTGACTCCACTAGTTATTGCCTTCTCTTCTTACTATCCTTAACCAACTCCATTACACTGGATAAAACTATTCCCAAATTTCCTAAGCTGACAAAATCTTTCAAGGATTCTGTCCCCCTTACCACTACTACTCTCACTCTTGCATTCTCTCTCTGCTTCCCAGGGCCACCAAGTATCTTGTAGTCTGCATTTCTTCAGCTGAAATTCACTCCCCTAACTTTGCGATCCAGTATGTGTTCCAATATCCTGCATACACTGCCATAATCAAAAGCAATTTTCTAATAGTCAAATCGAGCCATCTTTAATTCTCTCCAACCCTGTGAGACATCTGACACTGTCCTCTTCCTGGGACCTGTTTCTTCTATATGGCCTCTTCTTCTTCTTCCCACCACTGTGATGGCCACCTCTCCATCCTTTTGTGGATATTTCACAATATTTCAAAATATTTAATATTTTGAAAACCTTACCATCCTTTATGGTAAATGGCTCATCTCACAGTTCCATCTTCAGTCCTCTTTTTTAAACCTCTCATTTATTTATTTATTTATTTTTGAGCTGGCGAATTTCATCAAGACCCTTAGCTCAACTGTTACCCATATGATTGTGACTCCCAAATCTATGTCTTTGTCCTTACCTCTTTTCTAAATGTTAAACCTTCTAACAGACATTTACACTATAAGTAAATCAAATCTAATAGATCCGCACCTGAATTAATTATATTCCCCAACAAAACTTGTTCTACTACAAGCATTTTAGCTAATGGCATCACTATTCACCCAGTCATCCAAAACAGAAAACTTGATGTCATCATCATTCACTCTTCCTTCCCTATTAATCTCCTCCTTCTCCCACCAATTAATAAATAAATTCTGGAAAAAAGAATTTGAAGAAGACTCTAATGATAATAATGATTTAAAATTTTTTAAGTATTTTTCTTACTCATTTTGTACCTTTCATTACTAACACTGGAATTTTTAAAATTAGAGAAAAGAATAAAAGATTCATAGAAGAGTGGGGGGAAAAGGAGAGAAATAAGTAGTCTCCTCTTCTGTTAATACCCATGATTAATTAATTAATGCTTAAGAATAAAATTGTAGATATAGCCTCATCAGTAAAGGGCTGACTTCTCTGCCTTTTACATGAAAAAGAGAGGATTCTATGTAGTTATTTAATATATTATTACAAGTCAAAAGCTCCCTAATTTTTCTACTTTAGGGAGTTGAGAAGCGTCAAATCCTACATTGCAGAGGCAAGAACTGGTTGTGAAGCAATACTGTCATCATGCAGCATAGCACAAAATGGTACCTGCCCAGGAGACAAATGAAAATAAGCAAAAGGCTGAATCTGACCTTCATTTGTACAGTTATCAACCTTTCTAATACAATAAAGCACAAAGAATTTCAAAAGTGATACCTTTTTAAAAAGATGATCTTTGACAATGTATCACCTAAACTGAGGTTGCTTAATACTTAAAGAAACATTTTGTAGAAAAAACAAACAAACAAACAAAACAAACCACAAAACAACCATCTGATTTTTCAGTTCTTAAACAAAGTTCAGATGCTGATTTGAAGCTTATCAGGTGTATTTTTGAAATAGTAGGTAAACTCAATACCCCACAGCCAGTAAGTATTTATACTGTATGCCTTCAAGTTTTTTATTATAATTTCTACCATTAAACAGAGGGTTGCTATAAATAATAGTGACAAGAACCATATAGTGCTACTGCTTATTGAATCTTAACAATATACTAGGCATTATACATTATCTGAGTTGACCGACACAAGGCCTCATTTTAAAAAGATGAGGAAACAGGCTTAGAGGCATTAGTTGTCCAGTGTCACACAGCTGATAACTGGCAAAGCTGGGACTATGAGTCCAAGGCTATATATGACAGTAAGATCATACTTACTATCTTCCAGTAGTAACAATCAAATTATTTCAGAGTCAAGAGCATTTAAGAAATAAGACCAGAACACTACAGCTTTATATAACTGCTTGAATCATCTTAGTAAGAGTTTTTTCATTCAGTAATACATTTTTTTTCTTATAACCTACAGCAGTGGTTTTCATACCGTGTTTTACAAAATCATAGTTTCTCGGAGAAAATCATGGGTTCTACAGATGTTTGACTGAAATTTCATCTTAAATCGTCCTTTAAAACATAAAAATAGAAATTAATCTGCACACTCAACTGTGCCATTTAGGCAAATGTAATATTTTGAAAACCATCAGAGTGATAACTTTTGTTTCCTGCTTTGTTTTCATGCACATGTTAGAATGCAGCTCCTCTGACTATCCTGTATGTATATGCATTTCCTATAATGTATCACTGATTAGAAAAGCTGTAACTCTATATTGGTCTTACAAGAATTCGTGTCGGCTGACAACTGTGCATGCAGGGTGACTACCATAGCGCACACACACAACATGTACTTGAACAGCAGTAAGACTGAGGAACATGTGCTCAGCACATGCTTTCATTACGGCAAATATTCAACTGGGTAATAACAAGTAAATGAATAACATGACTTGATGGGAAAATTCTGTTGTAATTTTTTTACCCTCATAATTATGTTTTTAAATGGAAGTGGATGAAACAAGACAGTGGTGACTTTTGGAACAGTAGTGACTAGAAATAAGATCTTGAGTGGACTTTGTGGTTTTGGTCATGCTTTGTTTTTTGATCTGGTTGCTGGTTACATGGGTGTGTTCAGTATATGAAAATTCATCAGGTTGCACTATTATATACATGAACTTTCTGTGGGTACACTATACTTCAATAAAAATGTAAGAAGAAATAAAAAATAAAATAAAAATAAAATACAAGCAGATGTTTAGAGTTGGTTAGTGATTTATCATTTCTATTGTTCTTTTGTTCCAAATGTCGGAATTGGTTTAATTGACCATACCGGTCAATTGAGACCTGCAAAGCAAGCTGATTAAAAATTTCTCAGCTGCAACTATTTATGTACTAAACCAAGAATATTTTAATATTATACAACAAAAATAAAATATACAAACATACCACAGGTCTGACGATGATATAAGAATATAACAAATGTCTAAAACTTCTGATTTTAAAAATTTCAAAAGACCATTATTGTTCTCACCAACTTTATAAGTAAATGTAATAAATGTAAATGTTTATATTTATACTGATAAAATACACAGAGAGTACTACATGAGATTTCATTTGGAGGTAAGTATTCCACTGCCTTAATAGTCTGAAAAGGCATTGTCTTAAAGATCTTTATAACCTTTTGAACAGTCTAGATGGTCCAAGGCATTTTGGAATTTTGGAATGTGATTTAGCCTTCTCCTACAAGAGGGAACAATAGAAAAGCAAAGTGAGACTGAAATCTCATTTCTCCTACATGTTCCAAATTTAACAAAATACTCTGGAGGGGCAGAGAAAATTAATTAATATTCACTATAGTGCTATACTTTGTATCAACAGCATTCATTCATTAACAAGTCTTTATTAAACATACACTTTACTTGGCCTACTAGCATTAAGTGTCACCATTGGCAAGTTCAGATTATTTAAGTTGTCAATAATGGTAAAGATGTGGGATTAAAATTTTATTGTTGGGGTGCCTGGGTGGCTCAGTCAGTTAAGCATCTGACTCTTGATTTCAGCTTATGTCACGATCTCAGGGTCATGAGTTTAAGCCCCACACTGAGCTCCGCGCTGGGCACAGAGGCTGCTTAAGATTCTCTCCTTCTCCCTCAGCAACCTCCCACCAAAATTTTTAAATTGTTGATATAGTTATTATATATATTATTATATATTATATTTATTTCTCTAGAAATAAAGTCAACTAGTCTTAAACTATTACATATTTAGAGAATAGCCAGTTTTCTACTTTTACCTGTTCCTGTCATTTCATTATCAGCCATTTCTGGCAGGGCCTCCGGCTTAGTTGCTCTATCCTGTTCATCAAGGTTGACCTCTGCAACAGAGTCTAAGGAATCAAGCAGCACCACTAGAACATTATAAAAAAAAATTAGAGGAATATAGAGAAATTTGTATGGTTCCTTCAATTTAATATTTTTATCACATAAAAGCTGTATAAAAACAAAGATAAATATTTCCATATAAAGAGCATATAGCCATATATATGTAATAAGCATGATTACATTAACATGCATAACTATGCTTACATACAGGTCTAATGTACATTTACATGTGGAATGCAAAGGGCCTGTGAAAAAGAACAAAAAAGAAATATTCTTCCACCCTCAACTTAACTGAGGCATAGTTGACAATTAAAAATTGTATATATTTAAGCTGTACAATTTGATGTTTTCATATGTGTACACACTGTGAAATACTGACCACAATGAAGCTAATTAACATATCCATTACCCTATCTTTTGGTTTTGTGTATGTGTGTGGTGAGAACACACATTTCCCCCTCTTACCAAATTTCAATAACAATATTAACTATAACCATATTGTTATACATTAGATCTCTAGAACTTAATTATCCTGTATAACTGAAACTTTGTACTCCTTAACTAACTAATCTTCCCCAATCTCCCTCCCCTAGTCCCTGGTAACCATCATTCTACTCTCTTGTTTCTACAAGGTTAACATTTTTAGATTTCACATGTAAGTGAGGTCACGCATGGGTGAACAAGACTAATACTATCTTGGACATATCTGCCGTACCTGTCCTATGACCTGAAACCTTCTTGAGCACAGCCGCCATCCAACATTCTTTCCTTCTCCTTTACCGCATCCTTAAGTACACCCTCAGGGCATAGAGTCCTTGATCTGCCCTGGAGATAGGACTATGACCCACACCTATTCTTAAACATTGTCCCCTTGGGTGGTCCCTCAGCATGTACTCCCAGCTTCTAGGGCTATACAGGCAGGTACGAAGGGAAGTCGGTTATAGAGATCTATTCATTTTGTGGTGCACAAAACATGCTTCTGCCTGTAAATTCCCTTAATAAACCACTTCTTGTCAAGCTGGACTTGTTGGCCTTTTCCTTCAGCCTTAGGACTCCTTTGGCCTTTGAAGTTTGATTTGCATATACCTTCCTTTCACAGAAAAAGCCATATCTGTCTTTCTGCATCTGGCTTATTTCACTTAGCATGATGTCCTTCACAGTGTAATATTACATGTACTACATTTTCTTTATCATTCATGTGTCGATGGCATTTAGGTTGTGTACGTATCTTGGCTATTGTCAATAAGCTGTGAACACGGGAGTACAGATAACTCTTCAAAATATATATCCAGAAGTGGGATTACTAAATCATAAGGTAGTTCCATTTTAAATTCTTTTCGGGAACCTCCATATGGTTTTCCATAGTGGCTGCACCCATTTACATTCCATCAACAGTGTACAAAAGTTTCCTTCTCTCCATGTCCTCACCAACATGTTATTTTTTTGTCTTTTTGATAAATAGCCAATCTGACAGGTAGGAGGGGGATATCTCATTTGATTTGCATTTTCCTGATTTGTGAAGCTAAGCATCTTTACATGTGTTTGTTGACCATTAGTATGTCTTCTTTTGAAAAATGTCTATTTAGGTCTTATGCTCAGTTTTAATTGGGTTATCAGGTCTTTTGCTATTGAGTTTCACATATATATTTTGGATATCAACTCCTTATCAGAAATACGGCTTACAAATATTTTCTACCATCTATAGGTTGCCTTTCCACCCTGTTGTTTCCTTTGCTAGACAGCATTTTTGTTTGAGGAACTCCCATTTGTCTATTTTTGCTTTTGTTGCCTGTGTTTTGGGGTCATATTTAAAAAATTATTCCCTAGTGCAATGCCAAGATGCTTTTTTCCTATGTTTTCTTCTAGTTATTTTACAGTTTCAGGTTTTTATATTTAAGCCTTTGGTCCATCTTGAGTTGACTTTTGTATGTGGGGTGAGATAAAGGCCTAATTTCATCCCTCTACATACGAGTGTCTAGTTTTTTAATACCATATACAGGCATAACTGAGACACTGCAGGTTCAATTCCAGATTACTGAAATAAAGCAAATATTGCAATAAAGCCAGTCAGATTAATTTTTTTGGTTTCTCAGTGTATATAAATGTTACATTTACACCAAAGTGTAGTCTATTAGGTGTGCAATAGCATTACATCTATAATAGTGTCCATACCTCAGTTTAAAAATACTTTATTGCTAAAAAATACCAACCACCACCTGAGTTTTCAGCAGGTTGTAATCTTTTTGCTGGTGGAGTCTTGCCTCAATGTTGATGGCTGCTGACCGATCACAGTGGTGGTTGCTGAATGTGGGGGTGGCTGTAACACTTTCTTAAAGTAGGACACTGAAGTTTGCTACATCAATTGGCTCTTCCTTTCACAAATGACTTCTCTGTAGCACACAATGCTGCTTGATAGCATTGTACCCACAGAACTTCTTTCAAAATTGGAGTTGATCCTCTCAAACCCTGCTGCTTGCTTTATCAACTAAGCTTATGTAATATTCTAGATCCTCTGTTGTCATTTCAACAGCCTTCACAGCCTCTTCACCAGAAGATTCCATCTCAAGAAACCACCTTCTTTGCTCATCCATGAAGCTCCTCAACCTTTCAATTTGACCATAAGGCTGCAGCAATTCAATCCCATCTTCAGACTCCATTTCTAATTTTAGTTCTCTTGCTATTTCTACCACATCTGCAGTTACTTCCTCCACTAAAATCTTGAACCCCTCCAAGTCATTCATGAAGGTTGGAATCAACTTCTTCCAAACTCCTGTTCATGTTGATATTTTAACCTCTTCCTGTACATCATGAATGTTCTTAATGACATCCAGAATGGTGAATCCTTTCCAGAAGGTTTCAATTTACTTTACCCAGATCCATCAGAGGAATCATTATCTTGCACAATGATAGCCATATGAAATGTATTTCTTAAATAGTAAGACTTGAAAGTCAAAATTACTCTGATCCATGGGCTGCAGAATGGATGCTGTGTTATGAAACATACATATGAAAACAACATGAATCTCATCATACATCTCTATCAGAACTCTTGGATGATCAAGTGTATTATGATGGCCTATCTTGGTTTTCAACATGCCTTTCTCACTAAGCTTCATCATTTCTAACTTCTGATTTAAAGTGAAAGACATGTGACTCTTCCTTTTACTCTAACACTTAGAGTCACTATTGGGTTCTTAACTGGCCTAATTTCAATATTGTTGTGTCTTGGGTAATAGGGAGGCCTGAGGAGAGGGAGAGAGATGGGATAACAGCTGGACAGGAGAGCAGTCAGAACACAACATTTATCAATTAAGTTTGCTGTCTTACACGGGAATGGTTCATGGTGCCCCAAAACAATTACAAGAGTAACATCAAAGATCACTAATCACAAATCACTGTAACAAATAACGAAAAAGTTTGAAAAATCGCAAGAATTACCAAAATATAACACAGAGACATAAAGTGAGCAAATGCTGTTGGAAAAATGGCACTGATAGGCTTGCTCTATGCAGGGTGGCCACAAACTTTCAATTTGTAAAAAACTCACTATCTGTGAACCACAATAAAACAAGGTATGCCTTATTAAGGAGACTATCCTTTCTTCATTGTATATTCTTGGCCCCCTTATTGAAGATCAGTTGACCATAGATGTGTATATTTATTTCTAGGCTCTCTATTCTATAGTCTCAATGGTTTTATATGTCTGTTTTTATGCCAATACCATACTGTTCTGATTACTATAGCTTTGTAATATATTTCCAAATCAGGGAGGGTGATGCCTCCAAGCATTGCTCTTTCTCAAGCTTGCTTTGGCTATTTGGAGTCTTTTGTGGTTCCCTATAAATTTTAAAATGGAATGCCACTAGGATTTTGATAGGGATTACCTTTGTAGACTTGCAGATCACTTTAGGTAGTATGGACATCTTAACAGTGTTAATTCTTCCAATTCACAAGCACAGGATGTCTTTCCATTTATCTGTGTCTTCTTCATCAATGTTTTCTAACTTTCACTGTAAAATTCTTTCTCTGTAAATTACATTTTCTACTGTCAACTAACCATATTTGTTTTTTTCTTGGTTAGCTTTATTGAGGTATAAGTGACAAATAAAACTTCAATATATTTCATGTGGACAACATGATGATTTATGTATACATTGTGAAGGGATTCCTATGACTGAGTTAATTAATGCATGTATCACCCCACCTTTTTTTTTTGGTGAAAACACTTAAATTCTACTCTCTTATCAAGTTTCAATTATATAATAGTTACAACTGTACTCACCATTTTATATAGATTCTCAGACTTTATCTTATAACTGAAAGTTTGGACTTTATTATTAACCTCTCCTGATTTTCCCCACCCCTCAGCCCCTGGCAACCATCATTCTACTCTGTTTCTGAGTTCAACTTTTGTTTGCATGGTATCACTTATAGGTGGAATCTGTAAGAATCTTTGTCTTGCTATTTCAATTAGCCAAGTTCATGTATGTTGTTGCAAATGGCAAGATTTCCTTTATTTTAAGGCTGAATAATATTCCATTAGTATATATATATCACATTTTCATTCATCCATTGACAGACATTTAGGTTGTTTCCATACCTTGCTATTATGAATAATGCTGTAATGAAAATGGGAATACAGACATCTCTCTAAGATAATGACTTTGTTTTCTTTGGATATACATATCCAAAAGTGGCACTGCTGGATCATGTTAATAGTCCTATTTTTAATTTCTTGAGGAGTCTTCATACTGTTTCCCATAGTGGCTATACCAGTTTATATTTTCACCAACAACAAGAGTTCCCTTTACTCCACATCCTCACCAGCATCTTACCATTTTGATAATAGCCATCCTGGCAGGTGTGAGGTATTATCTCACTGTGGTTTTTAATGGCATTTCCCTGATGATTACTGAAGTTAAGCATCTTTTTATGTGCCTATTGGTCATTTTTGGCTATAAGTTGTATGAGTTCCTTGTATGTTTTGGATATTAATCCTGTAATAGTTATGTAATTTGCAAATACGTTCTCCCATTCCACAGAATGCTTTTTCATTTTGCTCATGGTGTCCCATGCTGTGCAGAAGCTTTTTAGTTTGATGCACTCCCACTTCTTTACTTTGGCTTTTGTTGTCTTTGCTTTTGGTGTGAAATCTAAAAAACTGTCACCAAGACCAGTGTAAAAGAGCTTACCCCATATGTTTTCTTCTATGGGTTTTATAGTCTTAGGTCTTTTGTACAAGTGTTTAATCCTTTTTAGTTCAATTTTGTGTACGGGGTTAGATAGGAGTCCAGTTCCACCTTTTGCATGTGGCTATCCAGTTTTCCAAACACGATTTATTGAAGAAACTATTCCTTTCCTCACTGTGTGTTCTTTGTGCCATTATCCATAACTAAGTGGCCATATATGCATAGGTTTATTTCTGGACTCTCCATTGATCTTTTTAAAATGCCAATACCATACTATTTTGATTACTGTTCAATTGATCTATGTGTTTTTTTTAATGCCAATACCATGTAGCTTTGTAATATATTTGAAATCAAGAAGTGTGATGCCTCCAGCTTTGTTCTTTTTTCTCAAGACTGTTTTGGCTATTTAGGGTCTTTTGTGGTTCCATGTGAATTTTAGGATTGTTTTCTCTACTTCTGTGAAAAATACCTTTCGAATTTGATATGGATTGTAATGAATCTGTAGATCACTTTAGGTAGTACAAACATTTTAACATTAATTCTTCCAATCAATCAGCACAGAATACCTTCTCACTTATTTTTGTGTTCTTCAATTTCTTTCATCAATATTTTATAGTTTTAAGTGTACATCTCTTTCACTTCCTTAATTTATTCTTAAATATTTTATTCTTTTTCATGTTATTGTAAATGGGATTGCTTGCTTTCCTGTGGTTTTCTTTTCTTGAGGTGTCTTTGTCTGGTTTTGGTGTCAGGGTTAACGATGGCCTCATAGAATGAGTCTGAAGAATTCCTCTTCTGTTTTTTGGAAGATTTTAAGAAGGATGAATTCCATCTTTGAACGTTTGGTAGACTTTACCATACTGCCATCTGGTCCTAGTCTTTTGAAAAGGAAATATTCTTACATATGACAGGAATTATTCAAGACAGGCATAAGGTACATATTGCTGAGAAAAATCTGTAGATTTTAATTCATTAGAGATACTTAAAAACAAAGGAAGATAGTAACTTATTCAGAATTATTTAGATACAATTTGAACAGACCAATCTTTTCCCACCTAATACTTACCATTAGCCAGCATACCAATTTTCTCTTCTTCCTAAATTAAAAGAAAATAATCATATGATTTGAAATCAAAATTATGTAAAATGCCCACAATGCAAATAATAGCAAAATCTGAAAACCAGTGTTTTACTCCATTATGAAAAAGTCAAGAAATGTACTTTCTAGGTTTCTTTCATCACCCTCATTCACTAATAATTCTATAACACTGAGAACATAGCTGTGAAAGAACTTCTAGAAGTTTCTTCAGAATTGTAGCAGCAATTACCAATCCTTTTAGGCCTTTAAAAGCTTTGTTTAAAGTATCTAGATGCCATTTGCTCACCACCTTGCTCAGAAGTTCTATTTTTTGAACTCCAAGATAACATGGATACTTCACATAAGATTCTTGCTATTGTAACATCAATCATTTTTCTTTTTTGTTCAAAATTAATGATCAAATATAACTTGTATTCTGTTTCACCTACATTTTGAGAAACAAAATTTTCAAAGAGGCAGGCCACCAAATGGCAATATAGTTGAAATTTGTCAAAATTATAAGTTCTCTAAAAAAAATTGTAAGTTCCCTTAAAGTAAGTTTTATAATTAGTGTCACCTATGTTCTCCACTTGGATAGGCAATGTGTACATTTACACTGACACATTTTTATGCAGGCTCTATTTTCTTTATATATCAAACCACTGTGCCTTCTACTGACCTATCTTGCATAAAACATTTAAACTGCCATATTCCAAGTATAAATCCCATTAAGCTTCTAAGGATAACCAGCAGATCACATTAATCTTCATGTATTTCTAAAGGTTTTCTTTTTTTTTTTTAAGATTTTATTTATTTATTTGACAGAGGGAGACATAGCGAGAGCAGGAACACAAGCAGGGGGAGTGGGAGAGGGAGAAGAAGGCTTCCTGTGGAGCAGGGAGCCCGATGCGGGGCTCGATGCAGGGCTCGATCCCGGGCTCGATCCCAGGACCCTGGGATCAGGACCTGAGCCGAAGGCAGACGCTTAACGACTGAGCCACCCAGGTGCCCCTCTAAAGGTTTTCTTATTTTCCCCTCCAAACTGAGTGATGTAGAGACACCCAGTGACAAAGCACAAGGTATATTTAAAAATAAGTATTTATTAATACCTGGGTAGTATTTCTTACTTCTATTTAGACACCTATGGTTTCATACATATTTAAAACATCTAGTCCTAACATGCAGTCCCAAAAGAGACCTCACTTGTACAGATCAAGACCAACATAACAAACAGTAATTATCCTACTAGTTAGTTACTATTAAATAGCTTCAATGGTAAGTTCCGTATGTCAGGCATTATGTAGTAATACACTTAAGCCAGTATTTGTAAGAACTGAGAAAAAAGAGAACTGGAGTACAGCAACAACTGAATACTAATGGAATAATTTAATTCATGATCTTAGCCAAGTAAGTTTCAGACAGTAATGTCACTGTTAGCATAAATACTGATTGTACTTCCCAAGGCCAAGATCTACCAAAGAAAACATAGCTTAATATACCTGTTTAAAATTAGATTTGAGATTTCAATTAGAATTTTAATTTCTAAAACTTAAAGAAGTTACTTGCCAAAAAGATCCTTTAAAAAATTAATTGCCATATTTCATTAAGATTTACATTAAATTGAAATCCTAAATTAAGAAAATGCCTGAGTGTTAAGAGACTTACAACTTTACAACAATGAGCAAGACAATGACAAACTCCATATTTTGAACTCTTCATATAGTGACAGTCAGCTAAGGTGATGACAGAAGTTTCAAAATTGTCAAATATATAATTGATGTATACCTGTTTGGGTACGTGTAGTTTTTCAGATTTGGGATTTTCTTTGGTATTAGTCTCTTCTTGAGTAGTCAAAGGTGCATCAATATCCTCCTCACCTTCAAAATCATCACTGTAATTTTCTGAAGAAAATAATTTTTAAAAAATACAAGGATCACACTACCAAAAAAGTCATATTCCAGGAAAAGACTGTTGATTTCCAAAGGAAGGAGTCTGCATAAGAATATTTTATTGAAATATTAACTTAAAGCTATCTTTAGAGGATATACTTTTTTGGGGGGAAGATTTTTTTTGTGTGTGAAGATTTAATGAGAATTCAATTCATAATTCATAAGACTTAGGTTTATTCTAGTTATAAGAGTTTTAAATTTTTAATCTTTTATATTATTAACTAATAAAACATTTCTAGAGCTGTCCAAAATTTTTTTTATCTTTAAACCAAAGTTTAATGCTTATTTTTTAAAGACAAAGTCTCAAATAGCTTACTTACAAAAGATAGCACTTCTGTGAAATCTTGACATTCTTAAACAAAAGGTTGGATTTGCTTATTTTTTTAAAGTTGATTTTTTTTATCTCTGTAGGTATCTCTAATGTAAGCCTGAAACAGTACTTATGAAAGCTCTATCTCTAATCCTTCCCTCAGGTAAATACTGGCTCTATATGATCTCTATTATTTCCCAATCCTGGGCACTTCCCAGCTTAAATCCCCAATTATATCTCAATGAATTTACACCAGAAGGGAAAGGTGCGTCCATGTTAATACGATGCCATAACACTACTTACGGGGAAGGTGGGGTAGGGGCTATCTGGCCAGGGTCTCTAAGCCAATTTTTAACGTGTTGTTTATAGCCCTTAAATCAAAAGACAGACAGAGATCTGTGACCTTTTCAGAGTGGAAACCATCATTTCATAAATAAACACAATCCTAATTGTGTTTTAAAAATTAGATCACATTCAGAAACAGGATGGCTTGATGAAAGAAAGATGTACGAGGTACTAGAGAGTCTGCTCTGGAATGGCTGTCTTTTCTTAGAATGGAGTGCAGAACCTGAGTGCAATTAATAACGAAAGTCTGGGAATGAATTTGAGAGGGCTTACAAGTTAACAGAGATGGTCCCAGTGACATCGACCTACAGAAACATCTCCATTTTAGTTCATAAGGAAGACAAGGTGGGTATTGTACCTTAGGTAAATAAACTAGCTTAGTTGGTTAACTACATCAATATCTATATTCTGAGGCTGAGAAGCTCACCTTTGTTTCTCTTCTGTATGAGAAAGAACAGTTTCGGATTTTCTAAATATCAGCAGACATAATTAAATTCACAAAACAGTTATCAAGATATTATTTTGTATTTGACATACTTCTAGGTGCTAAAACCAATATAACATGATTAAAATTCTAATGTCCTAGGTGGGAATCATTGAATTTTAAGTAACCTCAAACATCAGACTTATTTAAGTATAGATGATGAACAAGGAGAGAGGAAATATGGGAGGCTATGACAATGAACTTAGACAACTGCATGGGATATGAGAACTACCTGAAATCAATGGAAAGGGAAGTAGTATTTGTGTGACTACAAAGAGGCAGTGTAAGAAACAGTTTAAATAGTACAGTATAGTGCTTAAAAGCATGACTAGGAGCCAGAAGGCTTGGATTTAATTCCTGGTTCTACTACTTTTAGCGTAGAAACACTGGCAAGTCACATACCCTCTTTGCCTCATTTTTCCCATCTGTAAAGTGGGGATGATAATAGTACTTATCTCAAAGGACTGCTGAGAAGATTAAAAGTTAAAGCGCTTAGAACAGTGGCTTGTGGGGCACCTGGCTGGCTGAGTCATTAAGCGTCTGCCTTCGGCTCAGGTCATGATCCCAGGGTCCTGGGATCAAGCCCCGCATCGGGCTCCCTGCTCTGTAGGAAGCTTGCTTCTCCCTCTCCCACTTCCCCTGCTTGTGTTCCCTCTCTCACTGTGTCTCTCTCTGTCAAATAAATAAATAAAATCTTAAAAAAAAAAAAAAGAACAGTGGCTTGTATATAATATTCCCTATTTATAAGCATTAGCCATTATGTTTAGTAGTAATAATGACTTTCGTTCGTATTATAATTAGTGTTGCATTTAATCTAAATCATAAGTTAATAAGGCCAAATATTATTTCTGAATGGCAAAAGTGCTAATGTGCATTTTTCAATATTGCATTTTGTTAACTGTATTTTGTAACTGAATAGTCTAGAGGCAAATACTGTAACATACAAATGACCAATCCCTTCTCTCGGAATTTGTCATGAATAAACTAGATTTGAAGTAAGAAGGAAAAGTCACTGGAAGATAGACAGACAGAAAGGACACAGAAGAGAAATGAATGGAAATAAAACAGCATATCAGAGATTTCAGAAACATCAAGGCCAATTAAGTTTATATAAAAATCTAAGAATAAAATCACATTGAGAAGGTGGTTCTCATATGACAAATCTCAGAGATAATATGCAGGCTCTTCCATATTGTTTTGGAAAACAATGAGGGTATTAATTTGCTGTGTTCCAACCTTTTTGGGAGGAAGATATTGTACATTCAAGGTACTATTTCTATTATTATATTCCCTAACTTTATAACTTGAAAATGTTATTTGCATAAATAGAAGTTTTTAAAATTGAGGTAAAGTAAATAAAAGTCAATATAAAAGGTCTGAATGATAGATTTTGGAGATATTTTTCATTCTTTGTTGGAAAATTTAGCTGCAAATTTAAGTATGACACAACTTATAGGACTTTCTCCTCTACTATGCTGGATTTCAAGAACTTTGCAAACAATGAGTAAACTGGACAAAATATATGAAACAACTATTTACAGACATTGGACAATTGGCAGCACAAAACTGTGATTCCTAAGAAAAGATAAACAAGTGGGGTGAGCCCTACAGTTACTTGAAGGTACATAAATTCAGGAATGTTAAGCAGGGAGGGGGAGATCAGGACAGTCTCACTGTGTTAAGGTGACAGAGATAAGAGTTCAGAAAGGCTGAGCTGATTAGAAGTTGCAGGGCAGTAACAGAGGAAACACTTACGTAGAAATAGAGCTCTAAAGATCTCCCTGAGTCTTTGCGGAATACTAAGCCATATTTGTATAGTTTGAGCAACTGGAAAGCTACAGGCTAGAAAATTCACAGGCTTCACACAAGAAAGAGAGACTCTGGGAGTTCTAACCAGCTTGAGTGGAAAAAATCCTCATTGTTTAGTAGGGTCATTCAGTAGAAACCTCAGAAAGGCCGAGCCTTAGTACTAGTGTCAAACTGTACTAGGAAAGGCTACTCAAGACTTCCCTTAACAAAGCATAAGAAAAGCCTTGGAAGGATCAAGCTAGCAAGGTCAATTATCTGCCAGAACAAAGCTCAACACTTTTTATAGGAAAAAAAACAAAATCCAGACACTCAACAATATAAAAATCTACAATATCCAACATCCAATAAAAAATCACTACAAGGAGAAGACTATTCAATAGAAGGAGACCCAGAAATGCACAAACATTGGGATCAGGAGAATATACTAATGTTAAGGACTTGGGGGGAAAAAAAAACATGAGAAAAGATACAAAAGAGATTTAAAAAAAATTGCAAAATGAACTTCTAGATTGAAAGAAAAAAAAAGATTCAATGAATTAACAGAAGATCAAAGGAAAGAAGAAAAACAATCAGTAAACTTGAAGACACAGCAGTAAAAACAAGTGCACAGAGAAGAAAAAAGCTTTAAAAAATGAAAGAGTCTTAGTGACCTACGGGACAAAAAACCATCTAACACAATTGTGATTAGGGTCAGAAGGCAGGGGGTGAGAGAAATAATATTTGAAGAATTAGTGAGTGGACAAAACATTTTTTTCATTTTTATGGAAACTACAAATCCACAGATCAATGCTCAACCACCTCCAAGCAGGATAAATACAAGAAAAGTCACACCAAGATACACCATCATCAAACTGCCACAATACCAGGCTAAAAATCTTAGACACAGATTTCTGTGTAGGGGGTCAGCATCCCCAACTCCCATGTTGTGCAGGGGTCAACTGTATTTGAAAGTTGCTAAGACAGTAGATCTTAATAAAAGTTCTTATCTCAAGGAAAAAATGTTTTTCTTGGTACTGGTTATAGATGTTAACTAGACTTGTTGTAGTGATTTCACAGTGTATTAGATCAGTATGTTGTACGCCTGAAAATAATATAATGTTATATATCAGTTATACTTCAATATAAAAATTTTTTTTAATTCATTTTAAGTAAGAAGTTAAAAAATATCCTCAAATCTACAAAGAATACAAAAAACTGGGAATGATAAATATGTGGATAAATGTTTTTACATGAATATACATTTTTTATATTCCTTAAAAATTTTTTAGACTATTAAAAGCAATATTAATTATAATATTAATAGTAACAATAATACATCCCAGGGTTTTAAGATATATAGAAGAAAAATGTATGACAAAATAGCAAAAAGGTTGGGGGAGTTTACTGTTTTTAAGACTCATATAAAGTGGTATAATGTTATTTGAAAATAGACTGTATTCAATAAGATAAAGATGCATGTTATGAATCATAGAGAAACTTAGAAAAAAAAAACAACAAAGAGGTACAACTAACAAGCCCAAAGAAGGGATAAAATGGAATGTTATAAATACTCAATCCAATAGACTGCAGGACAAAATCAACACAACCACCAAATGGCCAAAGAGTAAAAAATCATACCAACGAATATATTTTTATAAAGGTAGAAACATTTCAATTAAAAGTCAGAGATTGTTAGATTGGACAAAAAAAGGAAAATCCAAACTGAGGGTTCCGGGGGGGGATGGCTTAGCCTGGTGATGGGTATTAAGGAGGGCATGTATTGAATGGAGCACTGGGTGTTATACGCAAACAATGAATCATGGAACACTACATCCAAAACTAATGATGTAATGTATGGTGATTAACATAACAATAAAAAATAGTAAAAAAAAAAAAAAGGAAAATCCAGCTATATGCTAACTATGAGAAAATCATTTTAAATATAAAAACGAGGACACGTTAAAAGTCAAAGGTAGAAAAAGAAATACCTACTGAGCTATGCTTTAGAGACATTGGTCCTGGCTCCATAGATTCCTCTAGCCCTTTTCCTGTCTTCCTAATTGGTCCACTGCCCACTCCCAACAAATGAGGCAGCAGTGCACTTTCAATCATTTCTTAGCAGCTCAGACTGTAACATAGGCAGTTCACTCTACCTGATCAAGGCTCTTTCAAAGATATGGTTTTACTTTTATTTTTCTATCAATGTCTTTATTAATAGTTATATTATCAAGTATTGTACATTTTTAAACCAATGAAATTACCTGCCAATTCTTCATGTTTCGATTCATACTCATGTTTATCTTCACTTAGTTCTACATTAGCTTGATTACTGAAAGAAAATTTACTTAATTAATTAATTTATTTAAAAGATTTTATTTATTTATTTGACAGAGAGAGACACAGCAAGAGAGGGAACACAAGCAGGGGGAATGGGAGAGGGAGAAGCAGGCTTCCCGCGGAGCAGGGAGCCCAATGCGGGGCTCGATCCCAGCACCCTGGGATCATGACATGAGCTGAAGGCAGACACTTAACAACTGAGCCACCCAGGTGCCCCCAAATTTACTTAATTTAGTATTAAATGTTAATAATACATTTCCATGGATTCTTTCACATATATTTTTTAAAAATCTCTAGCATTATACTTCTCAAGTACTCTTATTTTAACAAAAACTAAAAATCTGGGAGTTATAAAGAAAATGTTTTGAAAATAAAGGATCCTCATAGCCTAATTGAAGCTATCAAATTAATACAAAGAAAAAAATGCCATAACTTTATACACAAATACACACAATTTTATACATAAGTGTGTGCATTTACATGTCTCAGGGCCCAGATATCCTTTCTACACTAAAGATTAGGAATTGACCACATGAGAACCAATGAAGTCTACATGGGGGCCAGAAAAAAATGTCAGGTCCAGCATTTACCTGTTAATGAGCAATTTAATCATGACATAGAGGCTGAATAGGAACCTTAAACCAATGAAAACTCAGAAAAGCAACAAAGGAGCTTGAGCAAATTTTAATTACATTGGGTTAGTTCATATACTGCTTTCTTTCAAACCAAGGAATCCACCCTACTTTTTTCAGTCTATCAACCCTGTCTTTAGTGAGATTATCAGCAAATCCAAGAAGCTATAACTATAATAATAATAGCAGCAACAATATTCTATACACAATGTTATTTAGCACTCTGACTCGCCTGTCCTAAAGCAGAAATATTAGTTAAGAATTCTGTTAAGAAATAAAAAGAGGCACCTGGGTGGCCCTGTCGTTAAGCGTCTGCCTTCAGCTCGGGTCATGATCCCAGGCTCCCGGGATCAAGCCCTGCATCAGGCTCCCTGCTCGGTGGGAAACCTGCTTCTCCCTCTCCCACTCCCCCTGCTTGTGTTCCCTCTCTCGCTGAGTCTCTCTCTGTCAAATAAATAAATGAAATCTTTAAAAAAAAAAAAAAGAAATAAAAAAAGTTAAGAAATATTACATAGGGGCCAAAACTTGTAGCCAACTTGTGTATACTTAATCTATGTTGCTACTATTGGGAGAGGCAATCACCAAGGGCCCTGAGTGTCCCTGCATGTTCTTGTGGGGTACACCAAGAATGCAAGGCACAAACCTCTCTTTCCTAGGTTATTTCCCAAGATTGTGTTTGCAGAGAGCAACCTTGAGAGATGAGGCAGTATCTCCTTCCAGAAAAGAAGCAGGCTTATTTCCTCTTACTATAAAAGCAATGGATTCCCCAAGCTCAGTGCTCCTCTCCTATAAAGCAACCCACTGCCCATGCAGATAGCCATCATGGACCCCCCATGTTGCCTCCACATGCTTTGTGGAGCATGGGGGAACTGAGGTAAATAAACATGAGACTCAGATATGGCTTTTATTGTGAGAAATAAAGTCCTTTGTTTCTGACCCAGGAATCTTGTGTCTATTGTCAGCATCCATAAAACTGGCAGGGTAACTTGTTAGCTTACAAACAGGGTAAAAATCTCAAACCCTACAAAATTCATGAAAGTCACTGTACTGCTTTATCCATGGTCTGTAAGAAACTAAGCATCCTAAGGAGACCAGGTACTCTAATAACAAGAGGTAATGATTCTCCTCACCCTTAATTTAATTATAGTTTGGTGTTCTTAAAATCTTGAAGTTGTAATCTAGCTTCCATTTATAATTTTTTTTTTAAAGATTTTATTTGAGAGAGAGAGAGAGACAGAGGGAGAGATCACAAGTAGGCAGACAGGTAGGCAAAGGGAGAGGGAGAAGCAGACTCCCCACTGAACAGGGAGCCCGATGTGGGACTCAATCCCAGGACGCTGGGATCATGACCGCAGCTGAAGGCAGCCGCTTAACGACTGAGCCGCCCAGGTGCCCCTCCATTTATAATTTTAAAAGGTCAAAGGTCTACTGCACTTACAGAAGGCCAGCTCCGTCAACTAGTAGGGTTTTCAGGATAAACAAGGTTTCCTGATAATCATCAGGGTCAACCATATACAAAGGGAGGACGGGGACAAAACCTGTCTTGACTCCCTGGTTCACCCTTTCTTTTATTTTTTTCTCTGAGTTTATGACAGCTACCTGAACTCTCTTATTTACTTCATCTGTGGACAATCACTTAAGAAGCTACTTTCCTAGTAAGGTCTTTTTGCAGTGCGCCATTAGTCTCAGCAGCATCACACGCATGACATTTCAGATACCTGGATGCAGAGTGGGCTCTTAAACACAAATCAACATACTCCATTCATATATTAGGGAAGCCAGGATCAAAATAAGGAACATAGAAAAGAGATAAAAATAAGGGACGCCTGGGTGGCTCAGTCGTTAAGCGTCTGCCTTCGGCTCAGGTCATGGTCCCAGGGTCCTGGGATCGAGTCCCGCATCGGGCTCCCTGCTCCACAGGAAGCCTGCTTCTCCCTCTCCCACTCCCCCTGCTTGTGTACCTGCTCCCACTATCTCTCTCTGTCAAATAAATTAAAAAAATAGAGAGAGAAAAATATAGAAATCATTTAATGATTAGTTGATATTGTACATACATTACCTATGTAAAGCTTTAAATTGTGTGGAGTCATTAGAATCCAGTTCCTTATTTAATCTTGAATAATCAATGGAAGATGTTAAGCCTTCCTCAAGCCTGGCAAAAAATTGCTCTTTTTCTTCTTGTTCTTCTAATGTGTCCAATTCCAATCCAAGAACACTATGATTGAGTTCAGAAACTACCATCTCTAAATGAAAAGGACAAATATACCTTATTAATATGCAGAATTTTGAATTTTGATAAAATTTGAATGATGCATTTATTGATATTAGTAAAATTTAAAAAATTTAAAACATTACTTAATCTCTCACCCACTACATAGAGACTTCTAGTCATAATCAGTATGTAAGGTTATAAGGCTTCCCTCAAGATCTAATTCTAAACCTTCTAGGAAGGTATTAAGAATGTCTACATGCTTCAGTAAAGGAGGGTCCTAGATACAGGTTAGTTCTTGTAAAAATTTTAATTAAATTAATAGTATAATTATAGTATTTAATTTAATTAAGCACAGTAATTAATATGTCAACTCATATCCCTGTTTCTTACCATTTGTTTCTAAGCTGTCAATACTTAAGATAGAGGTTCCACTGCTCTGAAGAAACTGAATCCTTTCAGCAGACTCCGCTTCTATTTCCATAATAGGCTGAGAAGGCCTCTTTGCTTTCAGATAGCTTACATTTGTTCCAAGCAGTCCTAGGGATGGGATTTAAGATATAGCTGGATATTTATGTTCAGAAAACTGTTCTGACCACTATGTATTAACCAGTAAAACTGTTATACTTTTTTTTTCCGTTATGCTAATTTTGTAGACAGAAGCTACAAAATAAATCTGGTCTATTAAATAAGAATCCACCAGACTTAAAATTCACAAAAGAAAAATTGTAACACTGTTTATCTGCATTGTATCTTATTTAATAATCTCAAAAGTTTACATGAGACAAAATTTTAAAAATTACTTTGAAGCACAATTATTTAATACAGTATACCATGCCACTTTAAAGAGTATCTTCTGCCTTATGTGAAGGAAGAATAGGTGAACTAGAAAAGGGAGACAACTCCAGGCAGGACGGAGACAAGGTACAAAGAGTCAGCAATGGGAGGGCAGGCAACACTGGAGGATGCAAAAGGCCAGTGAGGTTGAATCTAGAGAGTGAGGGTGAGTCCGGGTGGAAATGAGCCCAGAGCAGGAGTCAATGGTCAGACCCGGCCAGTACTCACAGCCATGGATAGCATTTTTCTCTTTATGCCAAAAACACTAGAAAACACTGAAAAAGCTCTGCAAAATTCAAAATTTGTCATAATAGCATGTATTTGTTATAAAAAAGTGAAAAACAGAGAAGTTAAATAATTACATTGTGTATATATTAAGATTAGAATATCACTTTTGCTTAGAAGGAAGTCTTATTAAGAAGTCAAAAATTCTGGAAACAAGACAAAACCAGAGAGGGAGACAAACCATAAGAGACTTTTAATCTCAGGAAACAAAGTGAGGTTGCTGGAGTGGAGGGGGGTGTGAGGGATGGGGTGGCTGGGTGATGGACGCTGGGGAGGGTACGTGCTATGGTGAGGGCTGTGAATTGTGTAAGACTGATGAATCACAGACCTGTACCCCTGAAACAAATAATACATTATATGTCAATAAAAAAAAAGTCACAAATTCTGAACTGGAGGGTTCAGAGAAATAAGTCAATCAGAGAAAGATAATCATCATATAGTTTCACTCATATGTGGAATATAAGAAATAGCGCAGAGGATCATAGGGGAAAGGAGGGAAAACTGAATGGAAGAAATCAGAGAGGGAGCCAAACCATGAGAGACTCTTGACTCTGGGAAACAAACTGAGGGCTGTGGAAAGGGAGGTGGGTGGGGGGATGGGGTAACCGGGTGATGGGCGTTAAGGAGGGCACGTGTGGTGATGAGCAGTGGGTGTTATACACAACTAATGAATCATTGAACACTACACCAAAAACTAATGATGTAATATATGTTGGCTAATTTAATTTAAATTAAAAAAAAAAGAAAAAAAAAAAGTCAGGTTCTGACTTCAGTTTCCTAATTAGTATCCTCCTGGAAAGGATTCCAATCTATTTTTTTATGGCTTTGTGTGAATAATGGTTTTATAGATCAAATAATAACTTAACTTCCATGGTTGCAGAAAATTAAGAGACGTTATCTATAGACACTTCAAATGAAAAAGTGCATGCCATGGTTGGGGTGCTGTTGTGGTGCCTATGTGGGTCTCACCTTGGCTCTGAAGCTGGACCCAGGGATGTGACCCATACTAACTGAGCTCACAAGAGACTAATGACCAAAACCAAGATCCAATTTAGTTATTCATAATGAAGAGTACGACCAGTAGAAGGATTTGACTGTTTCATCCTCTAGGCAGAACACTTCATCCTTATGGCAATTGAAAGAGAAAATTATAAGGTTGAAGTAGCTCAATGTTGATGTTTAATGATGTCTAAGATTGGGGCGCCTGGGTGGCTCAGTCGTTAAGCGTCTGCCTTCGGCTCAGGTCATCATCCCAGGGTCCTGGGATTGAGCCCCATGTCCAGCTCCCTGCTCAGTGAGAAGCCTGCTTCTTCCTCTCCCACTCCCCCTGCTTGTGTTCCCTCACTCGCTCTCTCTCTGTCAAAAAATAAATAAAATCTTTAAAAAAACAAATGATGTCTAAGATTGGTAATGCATTCCTCTCCTCAAGAGGGTGTTTACTTCCCCCTCAGAAGCTTCTACATTCTTGATGGCAGGAATCCTATCTTGTCTGTATACTAGTGCCTAGTACGCCCAACACAACATGAACTCAGAAATATTTGTGATTGAACCAGGGACCAGATTATGTCCTTGAATGGAGAAACCCTCTCCTCAGTATTTAAATGGATGTCGTCAAAGTTTGCTTCTTAAATATCCTTCTTTGAATCTTTTACTAATCAAATCCATTCTGATTGATAAATTCTTTCTTAAAAATTAATACCTTTAGTCAGGTTACATTCAAGTGTTGATCCAGGACCTAGTCTTTCCCTTTGGGATGAGTATGCACATTCTATCTCTGATTCATTACTTTCTAGAAAGAGACTTTAATGCTAATTAAGTCTCAAATCTTTGCGAACAATTCCAATGGTACTTCATCATGTAATATTCTTTTCAAGCACCAACAGGGAAAAGATTCCAAAAAAGAATTCTTTGCATGCAAACTTTAGCACTGTTATGTGGTTGGGGGATTTATGAAAAAATGCACTGAATTTTTCAATAAGGCATTTCCTTATTTATAGTTTTAAGAACAGAAAAATGACTATCAAATTTACTCTAACATTCATTTATTAAATACATTTATTATTTATTTACTGTTGGGGTCAGGGGATACAAACAAAAAGAAGTGTTTCCCGCCCTCACAAAACTTCCAACCTCAGGCGTAGCCCTACAGGTAATGAATATCAGCACAATGTGTAAGTGCTATTGTGGTGTTTTGAAATCAAAACAAAGAAGAAAATAATTATGCTGAAAAGGGAGCTGGAAGAGTTAGGAAGGAAAGATGAGAAAAGGCAGTCTAGTGGTGAGAAAGCATGAGCTAATGCCCAGAGGCACAGAGTCAATGATGTTTCCAGGAGACAGGGAATAACTAAGTATGGCTGGGGCACGGGAAGCTAGAAAGGAGGGTCCTCTTCAGATGATGCAGAGCCTTAGCAGGCACATTAAGGAATTTGGGCTTAATTTCATGGGGACAAACAAAAGCTATGGGGCAAATTTCCCCCCTAGGATAGAAAAATCCTCTAAGTTTATAAAATGCTGCTTAATGATCCATAAATAGTACAAACCTAGGTTAAGAGAAGTAGTCTAGGGTTCCTTATGGATTCGGCAGTATCATATACAGCAGTTATACCAAAGCAAATACTCCAGAGAGTACTTTTCCTTTTGTGAAGAGGTGACTAAGAACAGTTTGGGGAAAGGTATACACATATGTCAGACAAGATCATTAATGAGTTCTTTACCATTAAGGCAATAAATTACTCTTTTTACTACTGTTATTAAGAGACTGTGATACCAAAATTCTAAAGATTTGTTAAAATATTCCCAATGTAATAGCATTAATACATTGTCAGAATATTTTATTAAATCACCTTAAATCAATTTACCATTATACATGACAATGTAGAAATACACATGTATTATTCATCATCTTAATTTGAGTAAATATAAAATTATCCCAATGTAATATAACCTGATAATGCAGAAACATCATAGATTCTCAATTACATAATAAATACATAATGAAGTGAATATGAAAATTCAAGCTTCAAAAAGTCATGCTACTAGTATTATTTTCTTTATATATGTATAGTCCAATAACAAAATCCCAGAATTAAAAAAGTCTTGACTGACCCCTTGTGGTCAAATAATTTGGAATAAAAAAATCAGCAGTATTTACCACCATCTTCAAAATCATCTTCAGTTATCCACCATGGCACTGCATCTTTCTTTTTCACTTCTCTTTTAGGTTGTCTAGGTGTTTTGTTTGAATTCTCAAAAGAATCATCTGAAAGCTAAATCAGATACAAGCTACTGAATTAAAACTCGAGAATCCCACATTCATCACTAAAAATGTTTCTTTTAGTTCTTTCACAGTTCAGCTATCATGTACATAAACAATATTCTCAGCAACAACATGTAAATTTGTACTTTTAAACATACGTGGCTAAAATAACTTAAAAATCAAGCATACATCTCTGAACATCAATTTCATATCTAGAGTTAAACAAGTAAGCTAACCAGAGAGAAAACATCAACGATAACAACAAAGAAATAAAGAAAACTTATCAAGAAACTTGATCAAGAAGGGGAAAAAAAGAATTATGCTATCCTCTTCTAGACATTCTCTAGGGTCTAAGAATAAATAATGACTGAGCAAAGTTACCCATCACTCTCAAAGAGCACAAAATTCTAAGATGAACTGAATTTCAGGTGTTTACCAGAAAAATTAGCATTTTGTCACAATGATTAATAAACTTTAATAAACTTTTATTTGTCTTTTTCTACTCCTCAGGTCCAAATTTCAGTACAATCCTAAATCCCCTAGTCTAATCCTAACTGACCCACCGCCACCACTCTCAGCCAGTAACTTGGCCTCTCTCTTCACTGAGAAAATAAAGACCTTCAGTCAAAAACCACCCTCCTTTCCCTTACTCCACCATCACACTCACCTGTAAAGACACTGCTTTCCTCTCTCAGAAAAGAAATTCTTTCCTCCACACCAAGGAGAACTTGAAGAGGGGTCAATCACTTCCCACCTTTCTAGGTTCTTACTTCCTTGGTCATCCCATGTCATCTCTCTATCTGCACTTCCTCCTCTTTCTTCCCTCCCTCCTTCCCTCAGGGTATAAACCAGCTCATCTCTGTAACCTCAGGCCATAGCACAACTGTGAAACGGAAGAATGAACATTCAGTTCTACTCCACCTTTTTTTAAAAAAGCAAAGCAGGGAGCACCTGGGTGCCTCAGTCGGTTGATTGTCTGCCTTCGGCTCAGGTCATGATCCCAGGGTCCTGGGATGGAGCCCCACAATGGGCTCCCTGCTCAGCGGGAAGCCTGCTCCCGCTTCTCCCTCTCCCACTCCCCCTGCTTGTGTTCCCTCTCTTGCTGTGCCTCTGTCAAATAAATAAATAAAATCTTTAAAAAAAAGCAAAGCAAAACAAAACAAACAAGATCCTTATTCCTACCTCCCCTTTATTCTACCTATTGCTTTTTCTGTGTATTTCTTGAGTTTACTGCTCAACCCTTTAAAATCTGGTTCCCTTCCCAAACAGCTCTTCTCCAGGTTCCAAGTCTCCTAAATGCCATAAATAAAGGACCGCTGCCAGTCATCTTCCCTGATCACATCATGGAATTTGATACCGGTGACTGACTCTTCCTGAAACTCTGTATCTTTGATTTCACAGCATCACTTCCTCCAAGTTATACTTCAGTTCTGTGACCTTTCCCACCTGTTTATTTTAATAAGTCTTGGTTCTTTTGCCCATTTCTTTACACTAGACTTCCCCAGGACTCTGTGCTTGTCCTTTTTATCTTCACTCTACACACTATTCCTGGAGAAGAAACCAACATTTATTCCATGCCTGCTATATGTCAGGATATATAACCAGGTTCTCAATCTTTAAGCAATTCAATCAAGATTTACTAATGGGGAAACAAGCTCAGGGAGGTTAAGCAACTTGCCCCACATGCTACTGTTAGTAAGTGTTACACACCTGGGATTCAAACCGAGGTCTGAGAACACCTGTCCACTTTCCACTATACTATGTGGTCCCCGAACTGGGACAATGTCACCAGGATGCCCTTTTAAACCTCCAAGATGACAATGCACAAATTTCCACCTGCCAACCAAACAACTCTATCTTAATGACTTAAAATAATGTCAATTTTAAAATGTTCAAAAAGAAATCATTGTCTTTCCTGACAATTAGGCAGGAAGAGGGGAAGAGGGAAGGAAAAGTATTCTTTATCTGAATTTTAGTTCCATCACTTTCCACTCAGTCTCTAAACTTGATCATCACCTTGAAATGTTCCATTTCTCTCTCCTCCCTGTATCTCACTGTTCACCAAATTCTGACCATCTGCCTCAAACTCAGCCTATTCCTCTTAAGCCCCATGGACAGATAAGAATGTGGAAGGAATATAGGTTTTGGGGGCCAGACAGATCTGAGTTCAAATTTTAACTTCAAAATATACTAGTTGTTGCTTAGGGGAAATTATCCTCTCTTTTCAGCTTGTTCATCTGTTAAAAAATAGTCATAGTACCACTGACCTTGCAAGCTTGTGACAAAGATCAGAAAATGAAATGCAGAGTGCTCACCCTATCATCTAATACATAATAGGTAGTCTCACTTTTGATAATCTTCCACACTGCTTTCCAGATTCCTATCATTAAAAACAAAACACAAAAGCTGGTCCCCAGAGAATAACCGTACTCTGGTGAGCATACGGAGAAACTGAAATCCTAATATACTAATACACAGCTGGTGGGACTGTAAAATGGCACAGCTACTTTAGAAACAGCCTGGCCATTCATCAAAAGGTTAAACATCGAGTCACCATTATGACCCACGATTTCCACTACTATGTATACATACAACAGAAATGAAAACATACATCCACACAAAAACTTGTACATGACTTTTAATTGCAGCTTATTTATAAATGCCAAAAAGTGGAAAGAACTCAAATGTTCATCAACTGATGTGTGGATAAACAAACAAAATGTGGTAAACCCATAAAATGGAATGTTATTCAGCTATAAAAAAACAATGAAGTACTGATAGATACCACCAAATGGATGAACCTTGTTTCAACCTATGTTGAATGGAAGAAACCAGTCACAAAAGACCACATATTGTATGATTCCATGTCTATGAAATGTCTATAACAAGCATATATTCAGAGACAGGAAGTGGATTAGTGGTGCCAAAGGCTGGAGAAGGGGGTAGTTGCTAATGGGTACAGGGTTTCTTTTGAGGATAATAAAAGTGTTCTAAAAGTGATTGTGGTAATGGTTGCATTGCTGTGAACAAACTAAAAAACACTGAATTGTACACTTCACTTTTTTTTTTTTTTTTTAAGTAGGCTCCATGCTGGGCCTTCCCCTTCACCACCAACATGGGGCTTGAACTCACAAACCTGAGCTCAAGACCTTAACTGAGATCAAAAGTCAGACGCTTAACCAACTGAGCCACCCAGGCACCCCTGAATTATACACTTTAAATGGGTGAATTGTATGGTATATGATAACTCAGTAAAGCTTTGGAAGAAAAAAAAAAGCTGGTCCCACCAATCTCCTTATAAACAGAGATATGTAAGCCATATCACTGAACAAACTATTTGAACAATAATTTAGCAAAATGACTAAAGAAGTTAGCATGACTCTAAAATCATGGTTTTCATTATTTAAAAAAACAAGATGCTGCCTTATCCAAATCTCTAGCATAAGATAAAAGCTTGTACCAATTGAGCCTGAATATGAGAGAAAGAGTGGGAGGGAGGGAGGGTGTTGAAAGGGAGGTAAATGAAGGGCAGAAGAGAAAAAAAATTGGCCGGTACTGCTTTTCATCTTTTACAGTGAAAAAACTTCCTATAATTTTCAAAATGTACCCATATTTAAAATTTAAAAAATCAGTTTTCAAACGGGAAGTGAGATTCTTATCCTGAGTGTCTATTACATTCAGATAATCATTATTGATGCTTTTTTATTTTTATTTTTTTATTTATTTTAAGATTTTATTTATTTATTTGACAGAGAGAGACACAGCAAGAGAGGGAACACAAGCAGGGGGAGTGGGAGAGGCAGAAGAAGGCTTCCCGCAGAGCAGGGAGCCTGATGCAGGGCTCGATCCCAGGATCCTGAGATCATGACCTGAGCCGAAGGCAGACGCTTAATGACTGAGCCACCCAGGCACCCCTAGGTGCTTTTTAAAATCCTTACAACAATCCTACAAAGTAGGCATTACTTTTTCCTGTTAATGAAACTGAGGTTTTCTACTACACCCTACATCTAAACTCCCTTTATGAACAAGAATGTTAGTATAATCGCTTAAAATGTGACTCCTGAATGCTCTACAAGGCCTATTTATATAAATACATAGGATATAGTGCAACCCTCTCATTTATTCATTCAGCCAGTACTTACTAAGCATCTATTCGGTACAGCAGGTACAGCAGTGAACATATAGCTGTCACATCACAAATCACACATTCTTACAACAGGAGGCAGAAAACAGACCTACACAAGGAAAATAATGAATAGTGCCAAGTGCTACACAGAGAATTAAATATATGGTACACAAAGAAGCCACTTGCTGTTAACTTTTTTACTGCATTAACAGAAAAAAAACCTCTCTGTGGTAGTGATAAATTTAAGATGAGATCGTTAACAATCAGATGAAGAATAGGAGAACAGAATTATTGGCAGAAGGAACAGCTTGTGCACAGCTCCTTATGTGAAATGAGCTTGGCATGTCTGAGGGAGAAAAAAGGCCACTGTAGCATAAGTAGATAAGGAGGAAAAGAAGTACAGAGTGAGTGAGGAAGACACGAGCAAAATTATCTAGGGCTTTGTAAACCATGGGAAGAAGTTTGGAGTTTATTCCGTTGGGGATGGGAAGCTAATAGAGTGTTTTACAAAGAAGAGGAACAATCTGATTCATGTTACAGATCACACTGGCTGCAGTGTGGTGAAGGAATGGGGGGACGGTATATGGGAACTGTTACGGTAGCCCAGGAGAGAAGATGGTGTCCTGGACTAGGATGGCAGCAGTGAACAGGAAGAGACCTAGGAAGAGGAAAGATATATTCTGGAGGAAGAGTTGACAGAGCTTGGTGATGGACTTGTGAAAATGAATACCGGGGAAACCCCATTATATAAAACACAATTGGGAGGTCGGAAGGGGGAGCTCTCACAACCTATCAATTTGTCATCAACTGCAGACTCCAACAAAGAAGTGTATCTTGCATTTTCCAACAGGAAGAAGCCTACTTTACTACCCCAGCAGGAGGAA